TACCCTTCCCTTCACTCGCCTCTCCATCCACAGTCTCGCCATCCGCCTCCACTTCCTTGAGTAACAGCGTATTTAGCGCATCAGTGAAATGCTCCAACTCGCAGATATCGCCGATGCGCACGCGCATGTAGTCGAACGCAATGGCGACTTTGAGGTCTTTGTTGCGGATCTTGACTACTTGCTCCATTTTGGCGAGTGACGAGGACTGGCGCTGGAGGGCGGGGATGGGCTTCGCGGAGTCGCGCGGGGGTCGGGCAATGGTGGGATGGATATCCATGTTGTCTGCGTTGTCGAGGGTGGGATCGACTTCGTCGTCATTGAGGGTGGGGTCTTCGGCGGTTTTTGACGGGTCGAGGAGGGGGTCTTCTTGCTCGCCGTCTGTGACGGTTTGTAGGACGGGGATCTTTTGGTAGCGCTGGCTGAAGTGGGTGAGGACGACTGCTTTGGCGTTCATTTTTGCGCCGATGCCTAGGGCTTCGGAAGTGGTCGAATGCTTCTTTGCTTTGGCATCGCCCACGAGCGCGTCGTCAAATGTCGCTTCGTGGATGAGCACAGTGGTATCTGTGCCGATCTTTGAAAAGTGCCAGCTTGGCCTGCAGTCGCCTGAGTAGCTGACCTTGAGCGGCTTGACAGCTTCGGGATCCGAGGGTGAGCGAGGAAAGGTGATTGAGACGGCCATGGAGCCATGGCAATGTGATACGTTCGCAGTCTGAATATCCACGAAGCCAAAGAACTTCTCATACATTGATCTGTGCACTTCTGGGTTTTCTGTTCTCTCCTTTCCGAAGGTATTCATGATCGAGAGTCGGGAAGAACTGCCGTGTTCATTGGCAGTGATTTGCAACGGCAGGATGCGACTGTATCCGAAATCTTCAATCGCAGAATACTCATGTAGCCACTGAAGCATGCCACTATGTGAAATGACAGATAAACCGTACGCACTGATGTCAGTACCACCCACAGTATTGCCGAGTGGTTGCAGGTTTGGCACACTGTTGTGTACTACTTGGTACCAGGCCCGGATTACGGCAGCTGTTCCCAGATGATGGTCAGCGTGCAAGTGGCTAATCCAGATGACCCTCAGATTCTTGAGAACATCGATGAGTTCCTCATGGGGAAAAACTCTCGCGAGCTGTCCAAGCGTGTTCTCGCCGCAGTCAAATAAGTAGTTGCCAATGCCAGGAACCCGGACCAAAGTCGCAGAAACATTGCGGTACTTTGATGGTAAGGCCGAGCCCGTACCGAGCGTAATAACTTCTGTATCTGGACGTGCCAGGAGCTGTCTCCACTTGTTCATGTCCTCGCGATGGTGTTGCAACACTGTCTGAGCTTCCTGGGCCAACTCGAGTACCTCGGGCGCTGTGTCTCGTCTTGCCGCTTCGTCGTCAAAAGGCCTCGAGATCAATTCTTTCTTCATGGTAAATCTTGGCATAAGTGCAAAGGACAACCCTCGGTCAGCAGCAATGACACCCTTTGGCAGCTCAGATGACGCCGATTGGCCGGCTCTGTAGATACTCTTCTGAGGGACGCTAGTATTGTCAAACACAGGCGTGGAGTATCTGGCAGGATCTACTTGTCCAAGACGCGTAGCTTGAATGGCAACCGAGTCATTAGTCATACGATTAGGCGCAGTATCTATAGAAGATATGACATGTTCCACGTCCCTCAATTTCTTCATGAACTCTGTCAGAGTTGAGTGGCCTGCCACGCCCGGGCCAAGCATCCAGATGATAGCTCCAATACCGTTCATGACTTCTGGTGAGTTCAGTTCCTCTCGCTGAACAATACTGTCAACATAGTCGACCGAGGGAACATCGAGTATAGCAATTCCTTGACCAGGTCTATCCGCACCCATAACTTGTTCCGGTGTGACCCACTCTCCACTAGCATTCTGGACGGATATGCCTTTGGAAAGCTGGCCAAATTTTGGCCCTGGAGTGATGCCCAGCTCTTTCGCACGCGCAACATCGAACTGTCCGCGGATAGGCTGCGCTCGCACAATGTACGACACGCACTCTGAAGCGGGCTTAGTCGGTGGGAGAGCCAGGATCTGGGCGCCAGGCCAAGGTGTCCGTGTCCACACGGTGATATCGGGCAGAGGTTCTGAACCTCCTAGTTTCGGTCCATCGTAAGGCTCATAGCTGTGAGTTTCCGGGTTGCGAACAAACATAGCGGCTGGCATTTTCACTTCCGAGATGTGTTGCTCGACAAGAGTGTCGAAGCTCCAGTTGGAATCAAACATGAACTTGATGGTCGCGGTCCGTATCTTATCGTATCTGGCCTCGCGAGCTTCTGGAGTTTCGTTTTCTGGGGCCTGGAAGTCCTCAAAGGTGTTCAGATGCGTGTCAAAGTGTCGTCGCCGTTCCTCTATTTCGGCTTCTGCTTGTGCATCTGGTTGGGAGCCAGCTGGAGAGATCGACATGGCCCATAAATTGATGTTGGAGTCTTGCCATGTGGGAAGTATGACGCCCTTCTCGTCCCTAGCCGGTGACTGGTTTGTGTACTCGGTGGCAACAATGGGTATGCCTTTGCGAAAGATGAACCTCCGGCATGTGCCCAATGTATGCTTCAAGTTGGGGGGACCGTATACGTCAAAATGCGGTTTTGACGGTATTTCAGCCTTCTTGCCTCGCTCCTGGGCCAGTCGGAAGGTTTCCATGGAGGTGGTGTAGGAGCTTGTGCTCGCGTCGGCCAGTGTAAGCATCATGCCAATGAGCCCGCCCATATTCTTCCATTCAGCCCTGCCAGTAAGGAAGAAATCCTGTGCCTTCAGCAAGCGCGTTCCCTGTTGCACCATTGCACGCTGTGTGCCCTCTGCCATGCTGCCAAAGACATAGTGCTTGGTTGCCGTGCGCAGCACGAGCGCAGTACCTGGACTGTCGGCCGTTGGCGTAGTGATGATTTCAACGCTGCAGGACATGTTTTTTGAATTATTCCTCAGGCTGCTATTATCCGCAAGTGGTCTGCCTTTCGCATCGACGGGTTCGAGTGGCTTAGAGGGCGGTAGGAGGAGAGGCTGGAATCGAAATTCCGCCCGGGGTCGACTGTGTGATTTCAAGAAGCGGACATGGATCGTGGCGGCCGTAACACGACCGGCAGCGCTTAGTCTAGAAGCCAATTTGAAGGTGTTTGAAGCTGGTACAAAAATGCGTGCGCAAAGTCATTGCAGAACTTCGCCTGCGTCACTTTTTTGGCCATGGGTCCGTGCGAGCAAGATCAACAAGCGGTCCTGTTCCGCGATCCAATCCCTGTCGTCTCTAGCACCCCACCATGCCACGATATATTCATGATCTGGGTATCATCTTTCATTGTAATCTGGAACTAACTGATTATCTATATCCTCCACGCATACTCTAGGCATGTCCTCTTTCTTGATCCTCATGCCTTCTTCCTGAGCGCTCCTCCGTCAACCGTGATGTCCTGACCGGTCACGAAGCCTGCCTCAATCAGATACAGCGCGGCATCAGCAATGTCCTTTGGTCTACCCGCTCTGTTGGTTGGGTGATCTGAAATATCCTTTTCGCTGATCTGACTGGCCCAATCTGTCCCTTTCTCGTCGCCCTCCTTGCTCTCATGTGCCACCTTGATGCGACCGGGCGCGATGAGATTAACCCTGATACCTAGATGTCCCAGACTGATTGCCATTGAGTGCATTAGTCCAATCAGACCAGACTTGCTTGATGCATATCCCTCCTGGTTGGGGTCCGACTGGTGTGCGCGGAATGAGCCAATGTGTATGATACACGGTCCTGCAGGGCTGGAGTTGTTTGCATTCTGCATGTGTGCCCCCTCTTCAACATCTGAGGCTCGTGCCTTCATGTAAGGAACACACGCCTGACTCATGGCAAATGGAGCAGTGAGATTGGTGTCGATATACGCCTGCCACTCATCAATCGTTGAGGGGTCTTCCATCGTCTTGCCGTCTTTCCATTGAGGACTAGCAATGCCGCCGTTGTTGATGAGAACATCGATACGATCGTTGAAGAAGCTGGCGGCTTCCTTGACTTTGGCCCGGATCTCATTCACATTCCGAAGGTCGCAGACGGCATATCCTAGTCTACCGTCCGCGTGGTACTGCTGGAGATGGACTTTGCACGTATGCTCGAGTTCCTCCTTGTCAATGTCGAAGACGTAGGCGTGGTGACCAGCCTCAAGCATCATCCTGGTCAATGCTCGGCCAATGCCTCGCGCCCCACCAGAAACGATAATGTTCTTGTACAAGGGTGCTACCGGTGCTTGAGGAGACGCCATTTTGAAGTATGGAGATGATTTTGTGTCTAGGTAGAGACCTTGTCTGCATCACTGACTGCGGTTTTGATGTTTTTACCGTTTCTACCAGTACGTTGATCTGACGTCACGCCTCAACATATTGTGTATCATCACCGTACCTCGATGCAGAGGCAAGAACGTCCATTAGCGTTCCGCTGCTTTTTCTGCATTCTAGTATCACCTGTTTTCTCAAGTCTATCGATCTTCCTAGGATATGGAAATCTTGCCGTTTTCTTGTCGCATACACGCTACTATTAGATAAAATTGGAATAAGATGACCCTGCGCTTCGTCCACTTTTTCTTAGCTACGTATTGTGTTGTAAAATAAACCGTAGACCCTATACTCTGGTTCCAACAAGAAACGTAGCGCAAAGCTCGACAATTGGCAATCTCGATGGCTAATCTTTTGGTGATCAAGAGGCCTTTTTACTCCACAAACCAGAAAGGAATCATGTAGATATGTCTTAAAGGCTGCTTTGACATGATGCCTTTTAGTGAATCAACAGACTGTCAATTCAAAAAAAGGTTTTATTGCTTTCTACTACCAGACAAAGTCAATCGTACAATGATGAGCACCGTGTTTACTGCTGATATCATCCGTTTGTTATGTATAGGTAATATCCCCAATGCTGGAATGTTGTCTCTGCAGTTGTAGTGTTTCCCACTTTGAATGCGACAATCGGCCCTTCCTACTGCTGTCCAATAGTGCAAGGCTGATACATGTTAAGTGATGGGAATTACTAGGATTCATCGGAGATAAGAAGCCTATTTTGTTTGAGAAAAATCCCAATATCAAAGCTAATTGAACACAATACATTTTTCAACGCTGCTGAATCGTGACAGCAGCTGTGCAAAGGCCAAAGCTGCAACCCAGGCTCATGTTCTCGATGCACCAAGATAAACATCACGGCGCATTTTTTTCAGAGGCTCGTTCAATCGAACAGTCCAAATCGCATCCATAGATCTTTTATCAAAACAAAAGATTCCCCACATGACGCCTGAGAAACACCAAGTTCCATGAAAGTACAGGTATATGACCACATTGCATGCATCGTTCAGATAAGAAAAAGCGCCGTCAGCCCATCGCACCTAGCCCCGTTTATTGCGAACGCTGGTAGACACCCACAACCATGGCGTGGTCACGCTCGAAAGGCTCAAGGGTAAGCTGCTCCTTGGGCTTGATGCCCATCTCTCGTAGCTTGGCGACTTCCTGTGCGAACACAGCCTCGGGAGCGGCCGTGGAGTCGATACAGTTGGCCTTGATGGAGATGACGATACCGCCACCAACCTTCAAGAACATGCCGGCGTTGAGTCCAACAATACGTGCTTGATCGGGCTGAGCAACATCAGCGAAGATGCAGTCGACCATGCCCAAAAGCATCCTGTATTTCGATGGATGCCTGGCGTCCTCGACGATGGGGATGACATTGGTGCGGTGGGTTGCCATGTTGATCAGATCACGGCCGGAGCGGTGGGAGAATTCAACGGCAAAGACAGTTCCTTCAGGACCGACGATATCGGCGACGTGGGAGACTGATGTGCCTGAAGCAGCACCAAGGTAGAGCACCTTGGAGCCAGGGCCCATATAGATGTTGTCGACACCACCCAAGATACCAGCAGCCAACTTGGAACGGAAGGGGTTCCAAACACGGTATTCGGTGCTGCTGGCCTCGGTCTCGCCGTCCTTTGCGGCGCTGGCGCCAACGCTAATGCGCTTCTCTCCGTAGACGGACTCTCCGGGGGTCAGGTTCTTGGTGACGAGAAGATCTTCTTTGCCGCGAGCGACGAAGACACCTGCATGGCGATGGCTGAATCTAAAGTTAGCGAGGGGTTATACTCTGGACGAGGACTTTACTCACGGCTCGACAATAACCTTGGCTCCTCCACGCGCGCCTCCGCGACCACCGCCGCGAGCACCACCGCGGCCTCGTGGAGCACCACGGCCACCACCACGGCCTCCGCCGCGGCCACCACGATCACCACCGCCGCGGCCTCCACCACGTCCGCCTCTAGGAGTGAAGCCACCGCGACCGCCACGGTCACCACCGCCACGACCACCACCGCGACCACCTCTGAAGATGTGTTAGTAAAGTTTTTTTCTTGGAAGTATTTTAGACTTGAATCTATTGAGCGACAGGCCGAAGTGAAAAGTTTCAAGTTGGCGCAGTACTGCTCAAAAGAGCGTATTCCAAGTCTTTTATACCTCGCAGTGGAGGTTCGAGAAGTGGGAAGCATACCTGGGAGTGAAGGCCATTGCTACTAGGTTCGGAGTTTTCGTTGAAGCTTATGGAGATGAAAAGGCTGTCGCGCATGGTTAATTATGAGATCTAAAGTTGCAATGTACATGGTACTAACTCGTGATATGTGATTCCACTCGGTGCGCAGCGATATTGCGCGTTGAAGTGGGTGTGGATACTGGGTGTCGCGATAGAGCGATGGGTACTGCAGGAGCTTGAAGTTCGAGCTCAAAAAAAATCCGAGTATTGGTCTTAGCGCAGAACCGCGCACACCTAGACACGTGACGTGGCCCGTGCAGTGCTGCCGAGCCGCTCTGCCCACATCGAAAATTGACATGAATTTCCCAGACACCACGTCGTCAACCTCCACTAACACCCACAGCACAAATCGACAAAATGGTACGTCTACCACCGTCACGATGCATCATTGACTTTTGCGACTCGAATATGGAATTAATTTTTGCAGGTTCGCTACGGAGCAACCTCCATTGACGGCGCAAAGTCTGCCCGCGCCCGCGGCAGCTACCTCCGCGTTTCCTTCAAGAACACCCGCGAGACCGCTCAGGCCGTCAACGGCTGGAAGCTCGAGCGCGCCCTTACCTACCTCGGAAATGTCCTGGAGCACAAGGAGGCCGTTCCCATGAGGCGGTACGCAGGCAGCACTGGACGCACTGCTCAGGGTGAGTGGCCCTGAAATCGATTGGCGCATTGGCGCGATGGGAGGACGTATGCAAGAGATGGGGACTTGGAGATTAGATGGAGTTTGTTCTGGCGATTGCAGGAACGCACGCTGACTTGAGTAGGCAAGGCTTTCGGTGTTTCCAAGGCCCGCTGGCCCGTCAAGTCCGCCGAGATCCTCATCGGTCTCCTCAAGAACGCTGAGGCCAACGCCGACACCAAGGGCCTCGACACCAGCAACCTGATCATCAAGCACATCCAGGTCAACCAGGCTCCTAAGCAGCGAAGGCGCACTTACCGTGCTCACGGTCGTGTACGTACACCGAGACGAATCGCGTAAACTTTCCTAACACGAACAGATCAACCCATACATGTCCAACCCCTCCCACATCGAGCTTATCCTCACCGAAGGTGCCGAGGTCGTCCAGAAGGGTCCCCAGACTCTCGAGCGCCGCTTGAACTCCAGGCAGCGTGGCCGTGCTGTCCGCAAGGCCATCACCGCCTCTGAGGAATAGAGGAAACAAGGGTGGTGATGTTGCGGCGAAGAAAACGGTCAAGGCATGGGCACGGTTTGGAGTCAAATGAGCGATGAATCTTTAGGGTCTTTCACACTCATCATGTATGCATGATATGGCACTTCGATTTCTACGGTGTCTGGTCCATGAAATAAATAGGGCCAAGGCCTGGTTCACACAAACATCGATACCGTATGCGCCTATGCCAATTCCGTCGCCACTCTTGTGCTTTACCGTCGTGACACGCGCCGACCCGAGATTCTGCGACCGCCATGTCTACTCATACCACATGGAGCTGACGTATAATGCTATGATAGTTGTAATGGATGCACGAAACACCATAGTCAGCATAGCATTCTGACTAAATTAGAAGTTACTTTTCTATGGGAACTTTGGTCTATACCTATTTGTGCTAACTTCCAGACAGCTGAATGGACATACGCTATCATGCTTTGGGTCTAGTGTGCCACATGGCTTTTGGCAAGCTGAGGATAAACATCGGTACGTTCCAACCGCTCAAGGGCTGTCTTACGGCCCCAGTTGGTCCGAATTGCTCCATTGAGTAACGTAGCTGCTGATCCTACCTCGCTTGTTGTTCGTCATAGCATCTTGCGTCGCCTTGCTTCGGCCGGGCTGACCAACTTTCCCGCGACCAATGACGCAAGCCCAGCACGAGCCCAGCATGGGCATGTACCTTGCCGCAACATGTGTAGTAGAAAGATAAGAGCTAAGGTATACGCTGGGATCCATTATCAATCGTCTTTCCCCAGATATCTCTCTTCTTTGAAACATTAGCAAAGCTTTTGTGGATATCCAATCTGTGATTCCACAAGTACCAACATGCCTCGCCTACACCCATCCAGACAACACAAACAACAAATGAGACTCACCACCACTGCGCTTTCGATACTCGCCACAACAGCGCTTGCACAACAGTCAAAACGTGGTTTTGCATTCATTGGCGACACGCACAAGTCTGATAATCAACTTCTCACCTCCGAAAGCTCGCAACTGTCATGGTACTACAACTGGTCACCCTACCCAAATAGCGATCTTATCCCAGCCAACCGACTTGAGTTCGTGCCTATGATTCATGGTATCGACGCCACCAAGGATCAACAAACTGAGCGTGTAATACGAGGCTTGCCAGAGAGTAGCAAACATCTGCTATCCTTCAATGAACCGGACGGCTCAGAAAGCAGCGGCGGAAGCAGCATAAGCCCCGAAGATGCTGCGAAAGCTTATATCGATTACGTCGTCCCGTTTCGCAAGGGCGATAGCGGAGGAAGAAAATGGCTGATCAGCCACCCTAGCACAACTGGTAGCCCAAACGGCCTTGACTGGTTACGTCAATTCAACGAGTCCTGCTATGACATTGACTCCACAAACGGTTGTCCAGCCGATTTTGTGGCTGTGCATTGGTACGGTGCTTTTGATGGCCTTGCGAGTTGGCTAGGTACCCTAGACGAGTTCTACAACAAAAACACATCGCGAAGCGTACCGCTCGAGCTCTGGATTACGGAGATGGCGCTGCCTCAGCAAGATGCGGACAACACCGTGGAAATGATGAACCAGACACTACCCTACCTTGATGGAGAGGAGAACGTCGCGAGATATGCATGGTTTGGCGCATTCCGGCCCGATGACGCGAATGAATGGACTGGCGATGGAGTAGCATTGTTCGATGATGATGGCGGTCTTACAAAGCTGGGAGCGCTTTATATGGGAGATGGATTCAAAGAAGGACAGAAGGGAGAAGGTGCAGAGGAGGATGCTGGAAGCGGTCTCCGTGTCAGCGTTGGAATGATGGCCGCTCTAGCCGCATGCGCTACCGTTTTCTCCATGTTGTAGATGCGTCCCGGTCAGATTATCGCGTTTGTCTTACTCTAGATACCCTAGCCTGCTTTTAGATACCACTCATGCGCTTATGAGAGCGCTACATGGAATGAATTATAGATGATCTCTTCGACTTGAAATATGCATATGTTGTATTCCATTCGAGATGGCTTATCTGAAGTGACTGAATGCTTGTCTGGATGATAGACATGTATCGTAACAGCTGCAAAAAGACCTGAATACACGAACCGATTTTTATTGACATGGTATGTATTACTTCCTCTTGTGTTTGGTACATCAGTTACATCTCCAGGCAGTAATTCTAATGATAGGCGAGTGCTGCGATACAGTTGCTACGAGCTTTTAGTATGGAATGATCAAATGATCAAACGCTCATCTTACCGCCACGAGTATCAAGATATGTGTCTGGTTCATTCAGTTCATGAATCAAACAATCATCCCAAGCTCGCGTTTGGCACAACTTTGACCGCTTGTTTACATGGTAGTCATCACTTTCACTCTCCTTCCCATGTGGACTGAGGCAACCGGATCACAAGCGTTTCTGACTATTTTTCCATACCAAAGCTAGCTATTTCCATTTCACTTTCACAGTTTCACAGTCATTGTACAATTTACTTCAACGTAATCACGGTGTTATACACACTCACTTCGATTTCGCATTGAGATAAAAACCTATCGCCCCTCTGTCAAATCTTCTCTCTCAAACATTACCTCAAATCTCAACCAAAACCCCAAAGGGCAAGAATAAACAATTCGAAGTCATATTCCTGCATATCGAACAGTGAGTCACAAGCTTGTCGTCTTACGGTGTCATCAAACATAAAGCCGCTTTCAGATTTCTGTCAGAAGACTCTAAGATCGATACAGAGAACACTGACCAGAACAATATCAACGCAGTCACCATGTCTTCTCCGAACAACACCAAAGGTGCACGTGTTATTGCAGCCAAAGCACCCCGTCAACGACCCTCTTCCGTCACCGCCGAGCAGACTATCTCTCAACTACTCTGTACCCGCCCATGGCTCTCACGCCCTCAGTCCGTGTCCGAACAAGATCGCTTCATCATCTACTGTCGCGACAACCTCGTTCCCGGCGCCACCGGTCCGAAAGACTGGAATGAAGTGACTGCCGAATTCAACGAGAAGTTCCGCGAGCAGTTAAAGCCATTGGCATGGAAGACGCTGAGCAAACGCTGCGGCGTCGCCCGAAAAATCTTTCTCGGCGAAAACGAAGACTACGCCCGCGTACTCACGTACCCAGTCCCAGACATCGATGCAGAAGGAGATTCAGACGAGGACGTAGACATGGACACACAAATGGTAGGTGAAGAAGCGTTGCATTCTGATCCTACTCAGCCTACCCCCCACCCCCTTCCCCCCAATCCTTCCCCTCAGACCAAAGCCCTCCTCTCTATACCCTCCACACGCTCGATGCCCGGATTCTACGACCCAGCATCTATCTCAGACACGTACATCACGCCCACGACCCGCGCCAAATTCCACATCCGCAGCCGCACCGCCTCGTTCGTGCGCTTCCACTTCCTCAACCCACACGAGGACCGCCTGGTAAAAGACAACCCGCAGTGCGTCGATATCGAGATACTGGTTGCCAACTCACCTTTCTACGCCCGAAATCTGCAGCGAAATACACACTTCACTGTCATCGATGTCCCCGAGAAGTTCACCGCACGCACGGTCAATGTGTTCATTCAAGTCATCGCTCCCGTGCGTGCAACGCGGCTGCCAGAACATTACCTGTGGAAAGCACAGGCGGCTACACCAGGGGTGTACGACCGATTCGGCGCGGTGAAGGCAGAGAAGATAGACTGGACGGTGGAAGGGCTGCTTGATCTGCTGTTTTTCGCACAGATACTCGAGGTGGAGTGGGTTGTCGACATGGTTATCGATCGGCTTCATTTCCTGTTTGTGGAGCGGAAGCGGCTCAGTCAGGTGACTACTGATGCGGTGGTGAGTGACATTCAGCGTGTCGCTGGTCGCTCGCGGGCATCAATGGCAGCTATGCACCCGACGAAGCTCAGCGCAGAGGACTTCGGACAAGGCGTTGTTACGCATTTGGCGGAGAACTCGAAGGACGTGCAGACGCTGCGGTTCATTGTGGATCTGATGAGTGGGCTGGGTGGCCAGGCGGATGCGAATTGGATTTCCAGGATGTCAGACAGAGTAAAGCAGGTCTTTAATTATGCGTCGGAGGAGTGTTTGATTAACTGCTCGCGCGAAGAGTATTGCAAGCGGTACCATCATCATCCGCACACTGCACGCGGTTGCTACACATCTTCCGTCAACCATCCGCCCACTACGTTCATCAAAGCGCTCTACCACTTTGCTACCCCAGAGGAGCTGATCCGCCACTCGAATGGACTTTTGCCGAGTGTTGTAAGCGGCATGTCGCACACTGAGTTGAGTAAGCTGAGGGAGGACAACTCGTCGCCTGAGATGTTGAACGCTGAAAAGAAGGTCCTGGAGATGGAGAGCCGCTTAGAGAAGGCAAAGGCTGCTTTGAGATCGGCACGAGATGCGTCGGGGGTTGAAAAGCAGCATGCGATGCGAGAGGCGGGCAAAGCTGTTGAGGAGATGTATGGGCCCAGTCAGCTCTAGTGTGAAAGGCTCATGAGTACGGTAATTCTTTCTACGTCCTGGAATTTGGATGAGCGTCAGGCGTTGGTGTTGAAGAGAATTGGGAAAGGAAGCTATAGGAACTTGGTGTTGGTGTTGGTGTTGGTGAATTCGTAGACCTGAACCTTGAGATGTCACTGTACGTGTTCCTGTTTCAGTCTTATGATAATTCAAAAAGGTGACTGTTGAATACGATCTCGTGAATGTTCGGACGTTAAAAAAGTATCATGATGAAGGGACGGATTGAAGTGTGAATTGAAAGCAAACCTCTAGAAGATTCCAAAATCATCATGTAATGGTAATTTGCAAACAAGAGTTGTTGGGAAGGGCTCTCTCACACCTCAGCAAGCATTGCGAGTTTGCGTATCAGTTTGATGTTTGAGTTTGAGTTTGTCAAAACTATCTTCTTACTTCCATCTCATTCTCCGTCAGGTGATGAGATGGATCCTTTGTTCTCTTATAATATTTAAGTGTCTCTTATGGTAGAAAGAATGATTATGCCTTCAGTTCAACAAGAGTCAACAACCTTCCAACTGGATTGATAACTGACGTATTGACCACCGTCTGGGACTTCGCAAGAGAGAGCCAGTCAAGCGATATGCTCGTAGTTAGATCTTCTCAAGCTCAAGGACATTTCCCTGTCCATCAACAGCAACTTTCTTCTTCATCAACGATGCGTTCCTCGGATTCGACGCATTGAAGATGTCATCGATTTCTTCAAGAGTGCGGTTTTTAGTCTCTGGAATGAAGAGCCAGACAACAAATGCCTGAACAGGGCACCAGCACGCGAAGACAATGTAGAGCCTCCAGCCGATATTTCTCAAAGCGACAGGATACGCGAATTGGTTGATCAACATAGCCGCTTGGAGCGCAACCTGCGAGAACGCCATACCTTTGGCTCTCATTTCGAAAGAGAGCACCTCGACTGGATAGAGCGCTTGGAGCGGCGTAATTCCAAAGGCGAAGACGGCATTGAAGAGAAATACTAGTGCAATAAAGGCGTTGCCAGCAGGAATACTGTGGTGACTGTTCTGGTACGAGACTGCCACAATAGCAGCAACCCAGACGACACTGATGATACTGAATGTTCCTATCAACATGGGCCGGCGGCCGAGCTTGTCAACGAACGTAGCACCAACGACAGCCTGTTGTATCTTATCAGAATGGACACCATGTTTGAGGCTAGAAAACTTACAAAGGTAAGTTGCATACAGCTCTTACCCAGGTTAATATTCATCTGCTTTATCTCCGATGTAACACCAGCTGATTCGAGCACTCCTGAGATGAAATAATCTACAGCTCCATTTCCAGCCCATTGCGCGAATACGGACACTACGCAGTTACAAGCAAGACGGTAGCGGGCTGAGCGGCTCATGAAGAGAGACTTGTAATCCCACCAGCGCTTATCACCTCCATCCATGTTCAGATAGATGTCATACTCGCGGACTTGCATGGAGACCCATATGCTATCTTCATTGCCACAGCCATGATACTTTGAAAGAATTCTCTTGGCCTCTGTCTGTTTGCCACGAGTGTAAAGCCAGCGAGGTGATTCCTTTAACACAGTCAGTATACGTGCATCTCAGTGTCTTGGTCCGTGCACCCGGTGCCTTGGTCCGTGCGGCTTACAGGTAAAAACCAGGGCAGTATAACAAGAAGGCCTGGAAAGAGCATTTGGAGCCACACGGGAATTTTCCAGGATTGATTGCCTGCAAGACCCGCAGATCCGCGCGTAACGCCGGCTGCAAGAAGTGATCCGACAAACCAGAAAGTATTATAAAGACCAGTTATAACACCACGATGGGACGGATGCGCAGTCTCGATGACGTACACGGGTCCAGCAGTCGTCATTATCGGTACGGCAAATCCAAGCAGAAAACGACCACCCATGACTTATCAGAAGGTTAGTGAGATTTGCACTCGCCGTCGCTGATTGGAACGACCTACATTGGCCTACAGGGCTCGAGGCGGGGGAAGTCGCTTGGATGATTACACCGATGCAACCAAGTGTGCCTCCGATAACCATACCGACCCTACGGCCCCAGGTATCACAAGCCGGGCCGACGAAGGGAAGCACGACAACTCCCCCTATCTGATACATTGATGTCACGATGCCAGCCCATGCACCGGTACTTTGGACGTTGTAGTATTCCTTGAATTGTTTGTTGGTGAGAAGAGCGCCGAACATGGAGCCATCGAATCCGTTGCAGGTGGAGCAGAAGAAGCCAACAAATCCGCAAATGTAGAGTAGGATGGCCGAGCTCGTGAAGAGTTTGACGGGCTCTTTCAATCTGGCTTCTGCAATTGCTTCCGAGCCTGTGACAATGGCGATTTCTGACACAACATTGTTGTTGGACTATCATCGTGTGAGAAGGTGAAGGTGAAACAAAGTTTGGAGATTGGTACTTACGGCATCCTCCGTGGTCATACTGACATGTGCCTCCTTCTTTTCCGCCATTGTTTTAGTAGAGACGTTTGCAATGAAGGAGATGTGGAGAAGATTTTGTGGGGATACGATTAGACTTAAAACCATCTAGGGAGAGGCATACAAGGCAGTTCCATCTTGACAGTGTATCGGGCTATGGCCCGAAATGTCCGGCTTATGCAGTACCCCAGCCGCGTCGAACTAAGACCAGAGTTCCAGAAACAAGACGCCAAGCAAAGGAAATAAGAAAACTCTAATCAGTCGTCCTATCAAAAAGCGGTTTTCTGGTGGCTAGAACAGCCCTTGATAATTATGTTCATATGGATGTGCGCCATTGACTCGAGAATCACGGAGATACGGGAGTAACCCCTTCCTTGGGCATCTTAGGGAACGATCAAGCGTAATAGCTGATAGCTTCGAAGCAGATGGAGATACAGTAGAACGTATCGGACCTCGCTGGGCGTAAACTTAATGTCGCGATCTTGACGGGAAGGGGCTCTATTATCATATTGTTCGCTGCAATTGCGCATTATTGATGTTCTGAAAGAACCAACCTCGCCGTTCACTTTGGCCATGGCGTTTGCAGCGCAACCGGTGGAATGGTTTGCCTCGGTACCAGTAGAGAAATGTAGATAGGTACTGGTCAAGACGGCGGATTGCTCGCCTCAACTGCAGCGTTTTGTGAGTCAGACAGGAAGCCATTGCTGCACGCAAACTGCATTGTTTGAATGCACTTTAGACTAAATGTTCGTCAAGCGCGTACATACGGTCCTTGTTGATGTTGTCCGTATTTCCTATGGATGGCATCGCAGTGTTGACGGAAGTGCTGGCGTCTGGCTTTGCATTCGAGCCATCGCGTAGGCATCATAGCTCCAACGAACCAAGTCGATATTCATTATAATAATGCATGCTGATCAATTGGGTGAGTAGTAAGACGGGATCGTGTTTCAACGGAGGAATTTCCGTCGCTCCAGTCACGTCCAGTGGCGGTCGAGTTGAAGTAAATCACGTGTCGAGCGGGGTAAATCTACCCATACCCACCATGTCGGGCGGGTGTCGAACTGGTACGTATTCTGAATCACGACTCGCGTATCTTTCCTCACATTCGTAATCTTTCCCCTTGCTATACCTAATGCGGATAAGCTATCGAAAAACGGTGTTGATATCCAGTCCATACCTTGTATTTACGGCCGCGATGATCGTATTTGCCCTGCAGGTAAGACGGAGGGGAAACAGTCAGATGATATGCGACAGGCTTGCAACGTTGTGGACAAGGTGCTTCCAATGTTTCGGATCATGGCACTCCGGGCCGGTTTGGTTTCTGAAAACCAGCCAAACTCCTGTTGGACTTCCCTGTGCCCAGGGTAGTAAGTATGCCTCCTGAGTTTCGCGGCATTTATCGGCACTGTTCTGGGAGGCATACCTGCTGAACATTCAGATGTTTTGTCCTTCTTTGAATACTCACAAATGAAATCTCACGAGACGCTGGGTCAAGTTTTTTTCTATTATGTACTACTCGATCTGGCCATCTGTTTCGGGAGCTTGGAATGCATCATCAGACAGTGCTGAGGTGCAAGAGCATAACACCAATAACACCCCACTCTGCTCTAAGATATATCATTCGAAATGACGAATCTGTTATGACGAAACCGCACGATCATCAACACAACCTTTTGCCGAGAAACTTAGGATACAATCAATCATATTGCGATTTGGTGCGTACGACGGAACGTACAGGGGCACACTTTGCAAAGAGTCTTTGCTAGCGTGCGCGTATAAAAAATACCCATACTCTAATTTTTCATTGCTACGAGACACTTCAGGGCGAGTGCGCTCTCATGCTTTTGGGTCGAGAAAGCATTCTAGTACCATCGTTGAGATCATCAGCATTCAGGCGTAAGACAACATCAAGTCTCGAACATGTTCAGCAAGCGCTATCCCACACTTCTTCCTCGTAAGCAACCCCTCACTCAATCCCGCCGCACAAACTGCCTCCACCCAAAACGTACGCGCCGCATCACCATCTTCCGTACAATCGAATAGCAGGTCAAGCTCATCAAGTTCCAACTCAACTTCTTCAGCCTGATCCGCCAGCATCCGCCAGCGATCCAACACCAACCCTTTGACATGATCATCTTCCAACTGCGCAGCGAGACAGTAAAGCTGTATGAGAGAAACCTCATTCGCTATCTCTTGATTCGGCGATGGGGGGAGGTCATGTGAGGATGCACATACAACATAGCACTGGATGGCTGCTACTGCCGAACCGTTCAGCTGAACTTCCAGTGTAAGTTCGCTGCTTCGAAGTCGACCGAGAAGACAAGCACTTTTTTGGAAGATGTGACAGTCGATACTAATAGCGTCAACTGGTTCACCGTGCCCATTTAGGATCTGGATAGTGACGACACCAGTGTTGATTGCTGTTCCGCGCTCGATGTAGGAACGCATGTCGGATTGGTTGCGGATATCGTCTGGTGGTAACCAGCCTGCTACATGCTCATTCGCATCCCGTTTGTCCAGAAGATCATGTGTACTTCGGTCTCTACGTTCCCTAGCGCTAGTGTCTGGACAAGGAGTTTGTAGGCACTTGTCTTTTTTCGCGTACACGATTGTGGTGGGATAGTTTGGGTGGTTTGATAGCCACAAAGCGCGATGCTGTCTCACTCGCTTCTCCATGGCTGCTGCAGTGACGGAGACATTGTATTTCTCGTTGTATGCTTTTGCTACAGCTGCCCATGTTAAAGGACCATGCGCGGTGGAGGCCGTGCCGTATGCATTTGGCTTGTTGTTATCGCGCGTGATGATGATGAAATGAACTTGTTCCTCTAGATGCTGCTGTTTTGCATATTTCTGCGCACTGGTCATGGCTCGATGTGTTATGGAGCGGTATTTCCTGGGTGGGTAACTGATGATAAATCCTTGTCTAACATGGCGGGATCCGGGGCTCTTGGAGTGGTGATCATCTGTCTTAGCAGCTGTGTTGCCACCATCAGATCTATTGGCTTTTTGAACCGAGTGGATGTTCTTTCGTCCTTTTGGCCACTGTTCTATTTTACTATTAGTCACAGTCTTACTGCGCCCACGTTTCGCCGGAGCCATGAGTGGCCGATATGCAGCGCCGAGGTGGAGATATATCTAGTACAGTTTGCGCAAAGATATACCCATTGTCTCCGTTCCATGAATGACCGCAGAGATTCTTCGCAAATATGCTATACACCACAGTTCCATCCTGTGGAAGTTTGCATTGTGCATCAACTCCTCCGATTGCTTCCAACTGTTTCTTCTCATCAACGGACGGAAAGGGGCTTATTGTCTATCAGCTCACCCTGGCGGCGCTGGAGCAGAGGAAAATTGCGTATGCTTCATGCTCTGGTACGTGAAAATTTTTTTCAACATGATGGTAATCGTGGACGAGCCAAGGATTTTGGTGCGCTTCGTGAGTTGGAGTAGGAACATTTTGAAGAACGGTTCGCCAGGAGCATCCGAGTATAATCATGACCCAATAGTTGTCGCATCGCAGGCAAGGCTAATTCAGAGTTTTTTCTTAAATCATTTTGTTAGACTTTGATAAGAGGGTATCTCGGAGACGATACAATCCTGTTTCTTTTTGCATGAGAAACTATTGCAGTTCATTCCAAAACGTAACTAAAGAGATAAGCAAATATGTGATACAAATTTGAAAAAAAAATCTTCATGTAGGATCAATTGAGTTTGAAAAACACAGCAGCCTTGCAATAAAATCGCGGGAGTATACCTTAAGGATAGCTAATGCACCGTCCTATAGTTATTTAATACTTGTGATATGCAAAACTGACAAAGTCAGCATTTATCATTTCGACTCGGACCCCTGTATGTATCGTCGCATATAAATAGGTGGAAAGGCGCAGTATAGCCCAAGCGTCCTTCTGCTGAGGTTAGATACACAGACGAAGGATTGTGGGCTTGTTGTTCTTGGCATCGCGTTCAGGGGTGGCCCCTGTGGCGCACCTCGTAACTACTACGTATGTTGCGGCCTATTTGTTACAAACTGCGGCCAACAAACCCGTGCGTGGCACTCTTCTCCTTCATGTGGACACACCTCAGACCCGCGGAGTAAGTAATAGGGGGAGGTTATGGTGGCAGTGTTGGCCAAGCTGGCCGCATGCTATAACCAGGACGCGTGCTATCATGTCCGACGCATGAGAATTCAAGAATTGTCAACCTCTTTTTGGTGCCATGCGGCGGCTACCAGACCAACCGTCAAAACATGAGGTTCGTAGATATGCCGGGTTGACCGCGCGCGAATGGGATGACGTATTTGTTGTGAGACCGTAATCTTTTCCCCTCACCCTCTGCGAAACCTGACCATGGATAGGCGATAATAACCAAAGAAGCCAGGAGGCTCAGAGAACAAGACCCTGACATACTATGGAGGGCTCTCAGTCAAGAGGCAAAGAACGCGATTGTGAACAATGTCAACCAGAAGCTAGCCGAAAAGAGCATCCGTCCAGTGAGCTTGGAAGTCGTAGGGAAACGTCTCGGTCTATCGTTAACTCGCATGAAGCATGAAGGCATGTGCAATAATCTACCTCTTCAGTAGCTGAACCTGACTGTTTATTGCACAGCTCGCAAGAAAGCTTTGGCTGCGAAACAAAAGGCATCTACTAATGCTGCTGCCGTTGCTACTAGCATGCCGGCCCAACGAGCCCGACCTTATGACCCTGTGCGAGACCTATGATTTTGCACATGCATACTTTTGACACAGTTCATCAACATCTTCACACCTAGCTACACCTTCCGCCAGTCATATTTGCTGCTTTGGATTTACCTCTGCTAGATGGCGTAAGCTTTATCTAATAGCGGCTTTGTTGCACCATAGTTGCGGGGGGTGTTATCATCAAGGCGGCAGTGATGCAGCGCATCGATTGGCCCCTCAGAACATGTTCAACTTGGTCAATGGATCTGAGGGAATTTTTCCAAGTGGGCCTGTCTCCCTAGATCGATGCGATGATAGCGAAGGACGTCCGGATCGGCATTGACAGTCTTATCGTCCAGGAAAACTCGACCAAGGACCAGCCGGCAAGTTGACTAAGCCACCATTGCTGATATGTAGTGGATGTTGTTCAGTGGGCGAAACGAGACGATAGCAGCAAACAAAAAGGGGACTGGGAGTACATCTGAACGACTGGGTAAATGTTTGGTGCAGTTAAAGCGTGGATTGGTGTGGCGCCGTCTTTCTTAACCTCCCGTAGTGTGATGTTGGGTGTCAATGTATCCAGCGATAGAAGATGTAAATTTGATCGTTGCTCATCTCGCGTGGTTCCTGTTTAGCTGTGTTACTTGACCCAACATGGAATAATGGAGTTGCAGTTTGAGTGTTGAACAAGAGAAGAAAAAGGGGTGTAGGATGTCTTTCCCTTCCAGATCAAGCCTGTTATCGATAAGGACCACGTTGCAGGCGTCAACCGCGTCCCGTACGGACCCTCCGATCCACCATCAACATGTGAAGCCCACGCGCCAACAGCACGCGTTGCGCAAACCATGTACCACCTCTTCAAGTCCATATACCTGCATGCGACGAGCAAAGAAGGTAACATAATCCCCCGGGATCACTTGATCTGAGGCCCCAATCTGCCATGCGCCCGCACTCTCTAACATTCGCGCCCAGAATACTCGGTCCTGCTCCTCGGCCTTGACAATGCCGGCAAAACAACTCTCCTCGAGCAAATAAAAGGCACATATACCTCGTCCAACGCCAACCTCCGCACCGTGCCCACTGTGGGCCAAAACGTCGCTACCATTGCCCTTCCCCCGCCAAACCCGCCCATCTACCTCAAGATATGGGACGTTGGTGGCCAGCATAGCCTCCGCGGCCTATGGCAGTCTTACTACAGCAGCTGCCATGCCATTGTCTTTGTTATCGACAGCAGCGATGTGGGCAATGCGACGCTAGCGGATCTGAGCGCGAGCAATGCAGCGAGTAATGAGGATATAGGCAGGCTGGATGAGTGTAAGCTTGTGCTAGAGAGCGTGTTGGCGAATGAAGAGGCGAGTGGTGTGCCCATACTTATTCTGGCGAATAAGCAAGACAGAGAGGATTGTGTGGAGGTGGTTAGGATCAAGGAGGGGTTTGTGCGGAGGGTGTTTGAGGGCGAAAAGGGAGGCAATATGAGGGATAGCAGAGTGTTGCCCTGTAGTGCGCTTACGGGTACGGGTGTGCAAGAGGCGGTTGAATGGCTGTGCAGCAGGATGGCTTTCAATAAGGAGGCGAGACCGCCAGTTATGCGGTAGCTGTGATGCTTCTCGGAGATTGGACAGCATTGATATACCCCGTGGCGGCCGACTGAGGTTTTCTACCTCGTGGAGTCCTGGAAGAGACGGTTGTATCCTTATGTAATACATTGTATGAAACCTATGACCTCCAGGCCATCTAATCAAGACCAAACTATCCAAACACTTCACGACAGCAAGGCTTCTTTTACACAAGAAACAATACCCAACACTTGAACTATCACCTTTCATCTAAAACATGTGTTAAATCTATCCAGACAAACACTAAACCCGCACTTGAATCATTCCCTTTGCACCCATCTGTCTACCCTCCTGCAGCCCTCACAACCTTATTATTACTCCAACACCTCGCCCTCACCCAAATCGGCGTTCGAAACATCACCTTCCACTCATACCCCTTATGCTTCCCCGGATCATCATAATACTCAAACTTCCAGTCTGTAGTCCCTAACCCATAACACCCTTTCATATTCGGCAGCATAGTCTTCTGTCCCCAATTCCACGTCGCCCAACCTGCACCTTCAATCGTATACTGCCCAAACAGCACTTTGTACCAGCTCTCGCAGCGCCCGTAGACAATTTTGGACGGGGGCCATGGCCGATTGCTGCGTCGAGGATGCATTTCGTATCTTATGTCTCCCGCCTCGCGGATGTAGCGGCCGTCGCCCTTCCAGTTCATGGGATTATCCCTCGTGTCACATGAATTTATGATTGCCCGCATCGAATCGATGCATTGGTCCTTGTGAAACACTGAATTTCCATTTGCAAGGCTGACGATCAAGTCGTGCTCTTTAGGGGTGCCGGCGTCGTAGAGCTTGGAGTAGCTCCAGTTAACTGTGCCCGAGGGATGTTTTTCGTCGACTTCTTTGCAGAAGGACTCGTAGTTTGCGTTTGTGCGATTGCCGTTAACGTAGTATTTGCTGCTGGTTGTGGAGAAGCAGGTGAACTCGTCGCGGACACTGGTGCAGTAGGGGGCGTCGACGCGGAAGGCGATGGAGCGGAGGTCCATGGGTTCGGCGAGAGCGAAGGAGGCGATAGTCAGGTGGTCGGCTGCGTTGGGGTGGAAATGTTTGCGTTAGTGCGAATCATACGAAAGATTATGGGAGTTGATTTAGAGAGTTACTTACGTTGGCACCAACGTGGTCGGGCAGAACCAGACCAAGGGTCATGTCCGGGCCGCCATCTCCAGGGCAGCCTGGTGGTGAAGGAGCCCGTCGGTCGAGTTTATGCCTGACGGTAGCACGCGGGTCAGGTGATTTGTAGAGAATCGAATCGTACATTGTACGCCTTAGATGATCCTCACGGACCTCCATAGCGGCCTTGACACGCTTGACCTGACGTTTCTCAGATTTGGAGAGCCTGGGCGAGCTCAGCATCTCTTCGAGATCCATATCAAAGTCCAATTCGCGCTTGCGTGGTGAATCGCGACCGACTTGACTCTGCCAGCCAAAGAAAGGATGGGTGTCAGGCTTGATGAAGTGCATGTCCGGTTGGCGTGGATCTGGATAATCACCATTGCTGCTGGGCGAGCACATTTGACCATCAACCTCCTCAGTGACCCACCAGTCCCAATCGGAGTAACCGACCAGGTACTTGATATCGCTGTCCTCAGCAGCCGCGTTAACAGCTGCTCGGATGGCCGAGTTTATATCAGGGACCAATTTGTTGGACGTCAGGCGACGAGCAACAGTCAAGGCCTGATAAGAAGCACCTAGCGGAAGGAACCAGGCAAAGTCCCAAGACTGCTTCTCACAGTTATTTATCCTTGTGTCAAAAAACTAGGCGTATCAGTTAACAACAAGGATGCCGTCCTTGCTCATCTTTTCGTTAAGCGCTTCGAGAATCTGCTTAATATTGTCTTTCATAATCGTCTTTACATTCTCCTAAGACTTAGCTATAATCATCTCGCAGGCGCTATTCTTAAATTAGGGCAATATAATACAATCTTTAATTATACTAGCTAGACATAGACCGTTTCCTCTAGCAGTAAAGGTGACGAAATTAAGATCACCCTTTAGCGCCTTAGCCTGCAGGTATACCCCTTCAGACCGATCACCGCTACAAGTAAGGTACTAAAATCCGCCGTTCTTCTCGATATGGGCACTCAATTGCGCTTCTATGACTTTGGGGTATGCCAAGTCGTACCTAGAACATGAATAGTTGTCGCGAATCTGGTCAAGATCCATAGGCACTTTGAAAGCCACCTCGTCGGAAGAGATTTGGTGGCCAAGCGGTCGTCCAGCACCAATTCCTGCCGTATGGCTGTCGCCGATGGCTGCCAACCGCTTGATCCATTCCATGTTACTGGGATCACCGGCTCGCTTCAAGAGAGGCGAGGGAGTCGAGGAGGACGACCAGTTGGCGGGTGAAACAGGCTTTGCACATTGTAATACATAGCCATTGGCCACACTGATCAGGGCCAGCAGACTGACAAGCGGCTCTGAAATCATGATGGAGAGTTTTGTTGGGTCAGAATGAGCGACATGAATCAACAACAACAAGAGGAAAGAAAGATTTGAGAGACAAATCATGTGAGGGTAGTCCAAAGAGCCCAAGTTTAGACTTGATCGAATCTGATCGAGAATGCAAAAGCCCAGGAGACACGGAGCAATCGCAGTTTCAGGAAAATGCTCAATCGCTCAACCGCTACCATACTCCCATGCTACTCCATCACACGTCCGGAGGCCTCAGCCAAGACGCATCAATATTCAACGTAAACGAGCATCTTAACCAGAACCTTGTGGTGGTTGAGATGAAGATACGAAATTCTAATGTCTCATATGCAGGTGAGACGACTAAGTCGCATGGGGCAGACGAAAATGTGCACGAGGCAACCCCCAACTTTAGCGATGGTACTCGTCTAGATACCCACCTCAAGGATCTAATCTCAAAATGGAAATCTTCAGCTCACAACTGTAAGCCATCGATCTCATATCGGCTACAAGCTGCGATGCAGCGGGCCATAGGGCAGACTAGCCTCTGCGGCCAGGGGGTGGGGTGGATTTGCGGGTAGTCCCTGATCGGTAGATGCACTGCCCCACCTGTACCTGACGGCTAAATGCACTATAGGGCGTAGGGCTGATTTTCAAGGGTTGTCTTGGAGGGTTCTGCACGGTCCTCGTTTACAAGTGAAGTTAAATTGAACTTCATCCTTTGTTTCCCTTGGCATATGTGCCGCTCGGGTACTGATACCAGGGTTGGAGGGTGTCTTGGGTGCTTGTATTTTTGGCACCTTGCCTTGATTTGGGAGCCTAAACTACCCCATCGCTTAGGATGTTCACATGTGTAGTTGGGGACATGGGCGGAGATTCGCGCTGCTCTGTGTCCGTCTGTTTTACGGTTCTCGACGTCTCATTTCCTTCGACTTTGCTACTTTCAAGAGTCTATTATCTTTGTTGTTGATTGTGTTCACGTATTGCCTTTCATTGTACAAGTATTGTGTAGATATTCCTTTACGATGATGATGCCCAAAGGCGTCTCATTTCAGTGCATATGGCTCGGCCTACTGTAAATCCTGAGAGCCTCTGATACACACGCGGCCAAGTAATGTAGATGAGGCAAGACCTCAAGGTTCAATTCCTTCTTTAACGCGCGTATTTCGGACTGAAGTCGTTGCATTTTTGGGGGTTCTTCAGTAAGAGGTATACGAGACCGCTCACTATAGTAGTAGACGTCTCAGTCCCGGCAAAAATCAATGATGCTGCATCGGCTGTCATCTCGTGTTTTGACAAACTTGGAGTACCATTTTCATTCTTTTTTAGTACAAGTTTCCATATTTCAGGTTTCTCGGTATCGATACGGCGTGCTAATCGCTTCTCTACTTGGTTGGCAGAGTTGTTATAGTGCTTATGGGCCTTTTGTGTCGCCTGTTTCGGCATGATAACGGCTAGTAGTTTAGCAAAAAGCTTGCACTCTCGTGCGACACATCCGATCGACATGAAGAGAAGGCGCCCGAAGATTGACGCAATCCATGGTGTGTATTCCGATTTTTCAAGAAGACCCAAAGGCTCTCCAAAGGTTAAGTCCGCCATCACCTATTTCCAATATTTAGCTAAATAAGAAGTTCTTGTCATGTTATTGAACTCACATCAAACGCTAGGAAGTTGAGACACTTGGAGATGTCCATTCCGGTGTCGGGTTCGTTCGTTGCCATTTCCTTAATGATTTTTATCAATGAGTTGAGGTAGTCGAGGAATAAGGGCTCCTGCTGCTTGAAAGCCCTATCGCTGAATGCGGGTGCATATATTCTTCGACGTGCCCTGTGGCTAGCAGTGTCGTAAATCGCGCCCATAGTGAAATCACCGTGGATGTTTGGCCCTAGAGTCGTAGCATCTTTCGTATTCTCGAGACGCTTCCCCGCTCCCGCTCCAGCTATATTTTTCCAAGCCTGATGTGCTATGTAGGTTAATTGGTCAGGCTCCAGCTGAACAACTTCGCCATAATTCTGGTACGTTGCATGCTCATATGCGACCTCATCGCCACGGAGTATCTTGTAGAAGAATACAAGACTGGTAGCTGCAGCGAGCTTTGGGCCGGGGTCTAGCAAGTGGAGCGGCTTAGTGGAAACTCATCTTGCATCTGAAGGTCTAGCTCACATTTACGTAGAGGATGAAATTACACATTGTACACGCAGGTGCTGAAGAATTTCACAATCACCTGTCTTGTTGTCAACACATAATTCATGATTGATGGAAGAGAGGTGTACAGACGAGTACAAGAATTGCACCAATAAATAGTAACACTTCCTTGAACTTGAAAGTGAAGTTAACATGACCTTTGATAGAAATGCCACTTTTTTGTGACTGTCGAAGAAACCGTTGTAATGCCGTCTGACCTTCCCGAGGCCCCAGCTATCGTTGCTGTTGCCACTCGAAAGTAGTTCAAAGCCAAGAATAATCAGCAGAGCGCGATGGGGGATACCAGATCACTACACGACTACAAGTGCCAAAACATTACTGTTTAGAAATTGTTTACTACAGTACTGGGCCCGGCCAGAAGCTACTGTCGATCATGCATCGAAGGAGCCTTCTGCTGCTAAGCAGTCTCCACTCTGCCAGGAGTAGACTATGATCGTCAGAAATCCGTCCGAGGTATTGCAGCATGGCATGAGGATGAAGAAATCTCTGTTCAAGGAAACGCTGTCGGAGAAATAGGCAGACTGCCAACGATGTCTGGTGATTCCCTCAAATCCGTTGCAGCACGGTTAGAAAATAAGCACGGTTTGGTTCAAAAAGGCCGCTATCGAAACACTAGGCATGAAAGCGCTGCCTCGTGATATATTCGAGTCCTTTGCAGCACGACTAAAAGATGAAGACGACTTTGTTCAAGCCACAGCCATTGATACATTGAGAAAGCAATCAGCAATACTAGAATTCCCAATTACGGAAGCAGTAGTGAAGGCAGCTGCATCAAACCATGGTAGCGGCGAAGATGTGATGACGCTTCTACTCGACCGGCGAGTAGATATACCAATCGTAGAAGCAGTGATAGAGGCAGCCACAGCAAATGATGGAAGCCGTACAGAAGTGATGAAGATTCTGCTTAGACGACGAAGATTAGACGTTCGGATCACAGAAGCAGTGTGCAGGCGGCTGCAAGGAATATATTTCAGACCGTGATGACAGTACTTCTTGACTAGCGAGAAGAGAAAGTGATTGAAGCTCTAGCTCGGATTGGAGCGAACGAAAAAATCGAGATACTTGGACCAAAATTGTTCCGTGTAAAATCTGCTCGGGAGTGGAATTACCACGCTTTAGAAAAGGAGTGTTCAAGTTTGGATAGTATATCGATACAGTATCAAGACTGAAACCACCTTTGCGTTGCACTTTTGAGAAACTCAGACTTTCTAATCTGCAGGGAGGCGAGACGAACGAATTTACATTCTCATATCGTACAGGAGAAGAAACATGGAGAGAAGGCCTCTTAACCACAAGGATACGATGGGTAGAGGTGGGTGATAAAAAGAATTGAACGTAGGATTAGAGTTGTCTAAGAAGAAGCAAAGGACAGGAGAATTGGATGTGCCGAAAAAAAAGACTCACACCAGTGTATGAGAAACGCAGTGAGACTCCAGCCCAACCAAGCCATGTGGAACAATACACACCAACGCTCCCTGTACCACTCACTGCAACTTTCTTTTGGCGTGCTCACTCCCTCTATATTTTCCCACTTCCCCCAACTCTCCAGCCTCCCCCACCCTACTCCAATTTCCCATCCCTACACGACTTCGGTGCAATGATCGGATTACACCTGGCGGGTCTCCCCTTAGGCAGCCTTGCCACGTAATCCCACCCCCACCTCGAACTCATGCCCCAAGCAGGGTAATCTGTACTTACAATCTGGGCGCCGCTCGCCAACGCAGCCTCTCTCATCTCGGTAGTGCGGTTTAGCACCGTGGTAACCGATTTATCAGCACGCGTACGCACGAGGTAGCCTTTGCGCACCAGACGCTGGATTTCCGCCATACTGGTCGCACTGCTCGGCTCGTTATACTTGATAAACGCAGCATCAGGGGCGCCTTCCAGAGCATTCGTGAACACGGTGCGGTTCTCTAGGCTGGGTGCACCCTCAGTGTAGAGTTCGCGAGGGGAGTTCGGGTCGGACGGCTTAGGATTGTTGTCGAAGTAGAAGAGGATGCGGCCGCGGACAGAGTCTAGTCTGGGCCAGCCGTGATACAGGATAGATTGTTCGAGGGTGAGGCCCGGTTTGCGCACGTCGTCTGGGCGGAGGAGCTGCTTGGGCGGGAAAACGGAGAGGATTTCGGCGTCGACATTGAGGATACGTGGTAAGGTCCAGTTTGTTGCTTCATCCAGGCCAACTCCGCTGAGATTGCTCATAATGGCGTCGGTTTTCAGTTCTAGGCCGATGGTGATAGGGACATGGTGGGGGTTGTTGTCTGACCAGGCTTTGATCTGCTGGAGACACTCGATAAAGGTGTGGCAAACGGCGTTCACATCGTAATTCACCATGTGGAAGACTTTGATCCCCGGTTTCTTGAGGATCTCGCCGTCGAACGGCATCGTGGTGGAGTTCGTGTATCCCCAGATCGAAGGAGGATAATATAGACCACCTTTTTCATCAGAATGCAGGTCTAGTTCGAAGGAGCGGACGGATTGATATTCCAGCTGGTTTTGTAGCTCGGCGTGGGAATAGTATAATTCTTTTACTGAGGAAAGTAGCCCCAACGAGGATGTTTTGTCTTCAAGAACCTTGCCCTCAGCTAAGGATATCTCGCGGTGGTACGAGTTGTGCGTGCCGATGACTTGGATGTGGTTGAAACGGATGTCGGATCTTGATGCTAGTACATTTTCTTAAGACTGTTAGTTGTGCTGGTCATTTTCGAAAGCTATGGGGTACCGCACGTGCAAAGAGCAGCATGCTCGCTGAAGTCTGCCATTGTTAGTTCATTGACAATTCTTCCCGCTGGGATAATAGAAACATTACCCATGGAACCCTCATGTTGTCGTGTTCACTGTCAAATGGCGCGTACAAAAACGAGACCACTCAAAGTAAGAAGCAATGCCACCAGCAGCAGCTTTCGCCAGCTATATACTTTCTTGCCCACGTTGATTCCTTCCATACCGGCATATGCCTAAATCCTACTGCTCGTTGTTGCTGAATTTCAGCGTATTGTACCTACTATTAAGAGTAAGGTTCCTGCTGTGAAGCGGATGGTCTTGGCAGCTACTGCGTACATGGTGTTGTGTGCCCCTGCCATTGGTCAATCGCTTGACATAGAGATGGCTTGCAGCTCCCAAGACTAGCTGAGCGTTCGTCTTTCAGGTGGATAAAATATGATGTTACTAAATAGCACTTGGCTTGTTTTTTTCTAAAGCTATAGATCCATAATGTAAGTAAAGTGGTGGGTGGTAACTGGGCAGAAAGACCAATCCTAAACAACCCCATTCATGCCTGCCAAGCCATTTCTTTCCAAAACTAACATTCATGTCTCTTCCATCCACTTACCCGAGTTGGATTGTTTTAGCTGATTGAAATTTTGCTCATCGCATTCTCTACCAATATGTCTTTTGCTGATGCGCCAAGATTGGCATCATGTTCAAACCTGACCACGCCCTTTGTTCGCAGTGCTTCCACCGCTCAATTTTCTTCGTGTACTACTTCGATTTGTAATTATACCATATCCTTGGACGCATCGCGTTTTTGACTACCTGAGTCTTTCACTGTCACGAGGTCGAATGAGCTGCCGGACCCGCTTGGGCCAGTAATATTACCAATTAAGAGGGTTGTTGTGACGGTAATCTTGGGAATCATCTGCTTAAAAATGTATCCTCACTTTACGAAGAATGTGTTAAGCTGGGTATTGACTAGATCAATAGTTGTGGTGCCATCTGAAGTTCAAATTACTTCCTCATATGATCATGACTATGTATCCCAACTCTCGACGTGTTCCGGGTTATAAGATCCAAATGGTATGTGCCATGGGGATGAGCGAGTTTGTATGGGTCACCGAGCAGCCCAAAAAACTTATCTTCCGGTCCACACATGCTCCGCACTCTCTCGACTAACTTACCGGAGCTTCAAATTGCTCTTCTCTATTCTCTCTTATTCACTAGTTAACACACGGCTCTATGGAGTTCACACTAAACCAGCGAACCATGCGTGAGCCCACCAATAGCTTCAATTCAGCCAGTGTTACGTAAAGCGCCAAACATCCTCTGGGAGAGCTTCCCGGCAGTATCACGGTACATGGCCACAGAATCCAGATATCGGGCCTACCGTCAAACGCTACCAATAAGCTAAGGGACTTACAATACAGCGAGACAATATGTTAGCTACCATAGTATGGGCACTATACCTTAAGACAGAAATAAGATTATGGCGTGATGCAACTCAAAATAGAAGACTCAATCGATAACGCGTTCGATAGCTCCAGAACATAGCGGTCAGCACATCCGTTGGTTATGCATAAATCGCTTATGGGGTATTACTTTTCAATTCCCGCCTAAGGAGGGCTGAATTTTGCAATTTTCTTCCATCTTCTTACACACTTGACAAAACACCAAGTAGTTGAGCGGCTTCGGTACATCGTCTCAATATATCAGCCTTGATGGAATTGGCTGCGGCTGTATGACATCGCGGTTTTTTCGCTTTAAGAAGCCATAATTGCAGTATCAGTTGTATATCTCGATCACTCCTGTCAGTGTTTTGTAAGGGAGGAATTTGGATCTTAAGGTGCGTAGATATAAGCTCTTGGTTCAACTTTGTGAACACAGTTTGATTGAATCAAACCACATGGGCACTGAGGGTCTTGTGGAAGTAGATAGGTTGTAGAATACTATATACCTGATGAGCTACTCCAAGGAACTGGAGGGAAGAGAGCTGATCAGGTTGTGGACGGTACGAGAGAGTTGAATGGTGCTGTTATTGACTTTGAAAAACTACAGTGGATACATCTTGGTGGTCTTGACCAGCCTGCATTACTTGGGTTGGAATGCAACACTGTGCAGCACGTACATATATGCCAATTATACACGGCTATGAACATGGGTGAGATCAACGAAAGTCAAGTATTTCTAGAAAAGCTTAATGACTTGGCAACCACTCATGGAGTCTCCATCTCGTATTGCTATCTGACTCAGCAAGCGTCGGGAACATCCATTGTAAGATGGTACCTCAAATTGCAGGCGTGATTGGACCGCGCATCATCGATGCTGTCAAAAACGCTCTCTACCGCTAGGATGTTCCTGGTTCCGAGTGTAAATTTGCTTTGTGGCTTACGTAGGTAAGTTTTCAACGATTCATACCTTGTCAGAACTTTGAACTTTTTTCGAACGAATAATTGCACTGCTATGGGCCGCCTGAGCTATATGTACTGTGTACATAGGTCAAATAGAGTACTCATTCTGGAACTTTTAGGGGCGCACGGAAATGACGGTTGCGCGAGTCAGAACGTTATGGGCGGAAACATGGTTCATGCACTCCAACACTTACGATACTTATGCAAACCCCCCATCAAAACTAGTTCTTTCTAGCCGCAAAAACTATCATCTTCATCCTTTGATCATTTGTATATGAATTTAAAACTCAACACTACATTGTATTTCAACCAAGCTGCGACCCCGGAGCAATATTTCATATTGGGAACTGACAAATTCATTCCAATCGGCACAATTACCCAAATGAAGCCTACTCCTGTCAGCAATGCCACCGTCAGACTGACCGCGAGATCGAACATCGTCGGGCTGGTCTCCAACCACTAAAAATAACGGGCCACTGTCAGAATACTACTTGGCGCTATGATCATCTAGTGCTCCGCAAAATTACAATTAACCTTTGAACACCCAGCCCAGACCTTACGAGCAGAAATGAAATTTCACAGTGACAGCGTCAATGATGCTTTGTATAAGAATACCATTGACTTTGGATTGGAAATGTTACTTACGACAGTCGTCCTACTCTCGATTCTAATCGCATACACTGCGTACCACCATCGTTTCCGTAATAGATTATAGATCACACTCATTTTTGTTCTTAATAGATAACTAGCCTGTCTCACCATGTTGACCCTCGCTAAAGCTATTGCTATACTCGCCTACACCGGCGCAGTTGCTGCCACACCTGTCCCAGATGGTACGTTGAACCAAATTCCTGAACTCAAAAAAAAACTTGGGCGAGCTTAGCTAACACTCCATTCAAAATAGCTGGTGCCTCTTTTACTCTAGAGTCGAGAGAAGTCCATGGAGCCCCCATGCACCAACTCGAGCACATCGTCGACATCAAGCGCAGGGCCGGTGTTGAAGTGCACCCCAAGCTCGCAGAGGCTGCGAACCAGTTTGCTGCTAAGAGACACGCTACACTGGCTGCTCGCCAGGCCACCGGCACCTTGTATGGTAAAAGTCCTGATCCATGGGACACGTCGTTCATTTATCCCGTGCAAATTGCTGGCAAGACCTTCCGTCTCTTCGGCACGACGGCAGCTTCCGATCTGTAAGTCACCCCAGCCGCATCTGGGTAAATAATGGAATTTATGTTAACGATTTGTCAAGTTGGGTGTATTCCTCCGCTATCCCTAAGAATCAGACTGTCGGCCACACAGTCTACGACCTCAACCCTGCGCACATGAAACCAGGAAATTTCTCTATTGGATACGACGGCGTCAATTCACAGGCATTCGGCAATCTATACGTTGAGCCCAGTGAGTGCCCCAAAAATGCAATCTCTACAATCCAAAATATACTAACACCCCACAGTCACCGTCGGTGGCATAACCGCCAAGACAACCTTTGGAGCCGCCACCCAAGCTGTTGAGGACTTCACAAACGACAAGACAGTGGACGGCCGGTTTGGACTCGGCCCTATGGAGTACAACTTCCTTGGCGAAACCATAGGCTCAATAAAGACCTGGTTCCGCGAAGCGCTCCCACAGCTCGCGAAGCCCGTCTTTGCCGTCGCCCACACCAAGGGTCACGGCGTCTTCGACTTCGGCTTCATCAACCAGAAGAAGATCAGCGGGCCCATCACCTGGGTCGACAACTTCCTCGAGGACTACTGGGAGGCGTACTGCTTCTACGCCCAGGGCTGGGCCGTCGGCGACCAGAATGCCAAGACTTCTGCCCGCAAGATGAAGATCCATCTCAACTCCGGCACGGATGTTAGCTTCACCGACCCGGATGTCGTCAAGGCGTGGTACTCGCGTATCCCCGGCGCAGTCACACAGGACGACCAGGGCTACACGATCCCCTGCAACAGCAAGCCCCCAGGCTGGACCGTCGTCATCGGCGGCCGCAAGTTCTACACCCCTGGCTGCCAGCTCATCTCGCAGCCCGTCGATGACGATGGCAAGGTCTGCCTGGGTGGTCTGCAGAATATTGGTGGAGGTGTGGATTTCCACCTCTTCGGCACCAACTTCTTCAAGGGCAAGTACGTCATTCACGACTTTACCAACCCGAACAAAGTCAAGCTTGGATTTGCGCTGCAGCCGGGTTCCAAGTAAGTGCGTTTGGTTTGTTCTTGAGCTCCAATGTTGTTTGGCGACTTTCCTGACTTGTGGGCTTGTGCCGTAGACAGTGCGGCATCGAATTTTGATGCATAGAAAGACAATGGCGTTACAAAGTCGTATGGAAAGAAAAAAAAATTAATGTATCAATGTATTACAGTATCATGAATCGTCAGACATATAACATGTAGACTCGAATTAATGCATGTGATGTATGGTGAACCTGGTAGACGTCACATATCTATATGCCAATACACGTCGTCCATGCTGTATTCACGTGACCCCTATCCATAGTATATCTCCTGCCTAGCCTATTCCAGACTAGACTACATTAGTATAGTGGTTGCCCCTTGGAAGAATGCTCTTCAGTCATCTTGCAATTCTCATGTTTACTGCATTCACAGATGTGCGCTTCCCACAAGCCGTTTCCAAGAAATCACCGATTTAAAGTAGAAATCACTCACTTGATGTCATGATCATGACAATGCACAAGAGCATGAGGCAATTAATTAAGAAGGAGGCAAAGTGTTCATATCATGTACGTTCATGACTTCATATCAATTACTTGCACGCCATCACTGACAAAAACGCTATATACACTACTATACTCGATAAATTCTTACGCCTTGGCTTCAGCGCGATGGTTCAGTGTCTCAGCATTCTCCATCTCGACCGTGGTAGCCTTCTCGCCAGCATGGTCGAGAATCTCAGACATGGCGCCAGTGCCACGCGTAAGCTCGGCGCCCTTGCGGCCAATAAGGTACCAGGGCAGATTGAACAGTTCGTCGAGCGACTCGAGCGACTTGCCAGAGGTCTCTGGAAGGAAGAACCAGACCCAGACGAGACCAATGGCTGTGACGCACGAGAAGAAGAGCATAGTGCCGCCGTGGGTCATAGAGATGAACATGAGGGGCACGGCCTTGGAGTTTCCGTACTGGTTGACAAAGTGGAATGTCATGGCGATGGAACCACCGAGCGCACGGAGACGAAGAGGGTAGATTTCGGAGTTGATCAGGTACTGGATCGAGTTCCAACCTAGAGCCCATCCGAAACCGGAGAAGTAGATCATAACAATGGCGCCCATAGCGGCGTGTTTCTGGCTTGGGGTTTGTACAACACCCTTCTCGCCGATGCCGGTGTCGACAAGCAGGAAGATGGCCATGTACAGCATGGATACGAGTTGCAGTGTGATACCGGTAGACAGAGATCGCTTGCGGCCAATATAGTCAATCAGGAAGAAGGCGCAAAGCATGGAGCTGACGAACTTGACAACACCAAAGATAGCGGTAGCAAAGAGCTTCTCGCTTTGACCAGTCTTACCCATCATTGCGAAGTATTGGGGTGCGTAGATGGTGATGCCTTCACAGAGTTAGCAAATATCACAAAAGGTTATACGCGCGGACAATACATACTGTTCGCGCCAGACCACTGTGAGAGCAGTTGAGAGAAGATGGAAAGCTGGATACGGTAGAGGTTGGCCTTGCTGCTAAACAGCTCACGGACCGGTCCGAGCCAAGACGTGCCCATGGTGGCCTCGCGCTCACGGTTGAGCTGGTCGTTGATGTCCATGATCTCAGAAGTGACGTAGGGGTGGTCCTCGGGAAGCTGGCGAAGAATAGACAAGTTCTTAAGAGCATCCTCATGGCGGCCAACCTTGATCAACCAACGCGGACTCTCCTTGGCAAACCAAGAGAGGATGAAAATGATACCGGCGAACATGAGATGCATGCTGTTAGGCACGAGCCACTGGGTGTCAGTCTTAGACGAGATGTGGATGGACGAGCCCCAGGATGCGAAGTAGGCAAGCATGATACCAATGTACACGGAGCCGGAGAATGCACCGACACAGGCACCTCGAATAGCCCTGGGTGCCGTCTCGGCAAGGTAGGTAGGGGCAACGACAGTAGTCTGACCGATTCCGACACCAGCGATAAATCTTCCAACGTAGATCTGGCCGATAGATCCAGTCAAGGAGCTAGTGAGGAAGATGGTGATACCAATGACCCAGATGAGGCAGAGCTGGCGTGTAGCCCAGAGACGGCCAATCTTGTCAGTGATGAAGAAAGCGATTAAGGCTCGCAGAATAGATCCCATCTGCACCATGGAGGTGATATTAGACAAGAGCTCTGCCTTTTCGTGCTCGCTCTTGTGGTCGTCATCGAGACCAAACTTCTTCTGGAAAGGAGTGAGTTCGGCCGTTGTGCCAATCAGACCTTCGTCGATACCACGGGCAGCACCCATGATTCCAAAAACTGCGTTCTTGTTAGCAACAACACGAGTGAGAGCAAGACAATTGGTTCTTACCAAAGACACCATACCAGAGACGCCAGTTAAGGCTCTCCTTGGGGGTGTCCTTCAAGTTCTCACGCCAAGGGTTCCACATGCTGGGCAAGATTTTGCAGATGCTCGTATGAAGTGGCGGTTTGATTGCTCTAGAGCTGCGAAACCTGGGTCTGTCCAGCAGCTTGGAGAGGCAGTACAGAATCAAATTCCAGGAAAATGTGGGCGCTTCTTATATGTAGTAAAAAGGTGGCGTGGGGTACGACATGCGGAGAGATTAAGGCTACCAGACCATGATACCACACCATCCCTGATAGACCCCAGAAAATTTGGCCCCGGTGTAACTCCACGTTCAGTCAGTGCCAAGAGGCGCTGTCTCCGAGGGGCGGGATACAGCATGGCCTTGTCAACATTACTTTCCCCGACGTACGATAGGCCAAGCGCGTTGTCGGCGTTTGCGAGCGTTGCAACTTGGCCTTGTTTGGCAAGCCGACCGTATATCTTCTCGTCCTAAGTAATCGAACCATCAGGCCATGGCCTATCGCACAGCATGCCGTGCTGCAGGTCGCACGCCCAGACCTGCTCAGTGGTCCATCAAGGCTTGAGTGGAGAAAGCTTCCTTGTTGGTGCGTCTTGTGGAGCTTGGAGTTTAGCTAAGCACTGAGTCAGTTATTGGCACCACCACCCAGGAAACCCCGCATCATTCCCCAATCCATCCCGCCTCCCACACATTTTTAACCAGCCCAGCCAGGAAGCTGGGTGCAATACTTCATAGCGCCGGAGAACTGCCGTTATGGCCTATGGTATCGTTGCAAACGCCCGATGGAGAACAGCCTTGACGGGTAAAGTAGGGTCGCTCGTGTTGACCATGCCTCGTGACGAGCCTGGTTGCCGGCATAAATACCCCCGAACGGGTGTCTGGGCAGAACTTCGGCTTTTGAAATCAAGCTCGTGGACAAGCCCTATGGCGGCGGTGTGGTGTCAAGCGATGCGGCTCCAGATCCTTCACCTGCGCTAGCTGCTTGGCTCCTCCAAATGCATCTGCCGACTTTCGAGTGCTTCTCCGACTCAAACGGTGTCGAATAGACTTAGATTGTACAAACTTACATGGGGTTCTTTTCATGTAATATTGCGGGTTGTGTTCCCCGACAACACATGGTGATCGTCACCCCGGCCATATGTCATTCTCCGCGTTCCTGGTTTAACAAGTTGGAAAGCGGCCCGCATGCATCGGCTGTCAAGGATCAGGCAAGGTGGCAAAGCGGCTAGAGAGCACCATCCGACACACACGACAGGAGCCTCTTGTTACGAGAGCAATGCCTGCGAGTCAGGCACAAAGCTTGGCAACATTGAGCGCCCCGGCTGGACCGTTTGCTGAGGCTGCCAAGGCGACAAAAACGTCTCCAGAATCCACTGGCTTTTGCTCTTTCTCCGCAAAGCTTTGTGCTCAGTTTGGAATATGCAGGGCAGCAGATGACCTGACATAAAACAAAAAGCACGCCCAGCCTTGATTCCCGCCAGTCGGTGCTCCACTGGCGTATCGGTGTGACCGCAAGCGCCTTGGCCGGGCTGCCTACAATGGAAGGGAAAAGCTGCGATCCAAAGCTTGGTGCCAAACCAAGCTCATCATGTGTCCGCCAAAACTTTGAAGCTTCTTCCCAAGCAAAACCAATGTCATGCTATTAATTGCTTGTCTGGGATGATCTTTACATCAATATTGTAATCTCTTCGTATTCGTACGGATGGTGTGTATGAGCGCTCGGTGTATGACGGGTCTCCGATTTTTTGCGGCCGCGGCTCGCTATGCGACTCCGGTAGCATGGTGCAGGTAACATCGGCCGTAGCGAGGTGGCAGACTACGGTTATCACGCCACATGGCGGAACCTGGCTGCCGGATATGTTTCTTGTTGAGATGTCTGTAACCGGGGGTTGCGTTGCTGACTGAATTTGATATCGGAGCTGGGGACAGTCGTGGGCGTCTTCCTTGGCTAGGTGGGTATCTTCCAAGGCGCCAATGTTGGGGATACCCGATTTATACTTCATAGATGCGGCTCAATTCGCGGCCGCGTGAGTCGAAGAATTCTTCCGCTTTACGAGAAGCATGGTTGTTGCGGTCGGTATCTGAGGGGTCCTGTGAGCAAAGTGGGATCAAGCTCGAGTAGAGGCAAGTTGGTGGACGGCAAAATCGCCGGGGACGGAGAAATTCATGTCAACCTGTCTCCTCGGCTGTATAGACTAGATGCAGTTGTTATCATAGTGCCTGGAAGCAGAGGTTGTGTGCATGGCGCTTCACTGCTTTCAGGTTAGTGGTGAAGATTATGAGGAAGTGGAAGGTGCAAGAGCGTACTGGAGGGGCAAATAAGAGACCAGAGTACAACATGTTGCAAGTATTGTAAACGCCAGGTCATCACAGGCTTTGTTATCAGTCATCATGGCCTTTGACTATATACTTGCTGGAGTAAAGCAAAAATTATTGCCCGGATACTTTTCCGTGCGCACTGATTCCCACTCACCCACAATGACTCCCCACTGCGGCAATAGATAGAGAACCCACTTGCACAAAACATGCATCTTTGTGCTTGCAAAAAGCCAGGCACTGAAAATTCTGCTTTCTTTCTACTGTGTAGAGCATGACTCTAACACGTACGTTTCTGAACCGCTGTTGACTAGTCTGGTACTAAGTAATCCCATCCAAAGTCCATCACCTGCTACTTGCCCACTCCAACAACTTGGACTCGGGAATCTGCATGTGTACCATTGTCGAAATTGACACGCCTCACTCCCGTATCCCGCTTCATATACACACATCTCTCCCTCTGTCTTCATCATCCGCATCGTCTCCACACCCGCCTTCCACCCATCAAACGCAACCAAACCCTCCCCCTACTTTTCTCTCTCCTGCCCATCCCCCTGGCCACACAAAAATGAACCCCTACTCCTCCCCCTCCTCCTCCTCCTCCTCCTCCCTCTCCTCCGCAGCAACCTCCCTATAACACCTCCCCCCATTCGCCCCACTCCTCCCATGCTCATGATACCTCCTACACCACGCACCCTCAGTACTCTCCTCACACTTCATCGTCAACCTCCTCCTCACCATCCTCAGCCCACTCTGCATAACATTCCACACTAAATCCGGATGCACCGTCACCCCCCTCCTCCGCGCCACCTCCATCTCCTTCTCCGTCTGATCCCCCGCCAGCGCCAGCGCATCGGCCCACAGCATGCGCGCGCCGCAGGCGGTCGGGGTGTGCTCGTAGAGGAGGGTGACGAGGTGGAGCTGCGTGTCTGTTGTGTTGGCGTCAAGGTCCGGGTCCGTGGCGTCGAGACCGAGGTTGCGCGGGTTGGCGTCGTATTCTGAGGGCATCAGGACGCCGGCGAGGCGGGCGCGCTGGGCGGCGCGTTTGCGGTGCGAGAGCGCTTTGTTGGGGCGCCACAGCGTGTAGGTAGGGTCTGTCGTGGCTTTTTTGCGGCGCGTGTGGAAGGCCCGGATCCAGGTGTCGGTGATGAGGTCGCAGAGGTTCCACAGGTTTTGGTGGTAGCAGGTTATGTAGAGGTGGGTGAGGAGCTCAGCGCTGTAGGGTTGGATGGTGTCGGGGTCGTTGGTGTTGCCGAGACTGGGGAGGTCGATGTGCGTTTTGGTGCTGGCCTTGAGGCTGTTTAGGATGTCGTAGACGTCCTGGCTGGGTTGGAAGCTCGTGTGCTCAATAGAAGACTGAGCTGCGAGTGTGGATGATGACGGACAGTCTTCTTCTTCACTTACCTTATCCAAGTGCGATGTGAACGAGGGTCGTTTGCCGCGTGGACGACCCAGGCTTCGTTTTTTCTGACGTTTTTCTGGTGAGAAGACTCCTGAGTATCCTTGGGCGTTACTCAACGCATTTGCTGTGCTGCTTAGCAGTGCAGCCTTGTATAGGTTTCCCGAGGAAATACACTTACGCAAGTCACTTGAGAAGTCTGGCTGAAACTTGAAGTCGTCGTTATCAAAGCCCTCAGAGCTAAGACCCATCAACTGGTCATAGTCACTGCCCTGTATGACATCCTCATGCTGCCGCTTATGTACTGTCCGTCCAGTTCGTGTCTTCACTGACAACTGCCCAGCAGGGTACTGTGGAAGGCCACTGTTGTAGTCTGTATTCTGTTCATTCGCTGTAGCAGGAAACGGATCCGTCTTCTCTTCCTTATTGCCAACATTGAGCCTGAGTTTCAGCCACAACTTCGGTAACGTTCCCATTTCTGCGGTCTTTGAACCTGGTGACACTGTCCGCGATGACCTCATCTTGGAAGCATCCCGGCTTTGAGACGAGCGCCTAGAAGTGATAGACCGCTGTCTCGCCATTGAGGCCTCGTTGTTTATCTCGACTGATTATTTCTCTTTGCTGTGGTCGTAGTTGAGTCGTACTTTTGTGTATTCGCTTTACACAACTCGGATCAAAAACTTCACCTTATAAGTGCGAAGTAGGCAAAACATTGTGAAAAAGTAGTGGATCTTCGTCCACTCACCTCCAAACAAACGCCCAAACCGTCCCAATAATGCAGCACCACCAAGCAAGTGAAAGGTGAACCCCCCCTTCACCTTCACTTCACTGCAACCCCCCAATACCTTCGATACACCCTTTCCCCTCTCCCCACACACTCCGCACAAACAACCCCATCCACCCCCTTCCATCCCATATCCCTACAATTAACCCCGCACCGCCTCTCCGGCACACACCAAACCCTATGCCCACACTTCAACTCATGAGGCACGCGTCCAGGCACATACAACACCGGGCACAGCAGCTCCTCTACAGCCGGCGCAGGAAGCATCGTCGCCGCAGCAATAATAGCGCGCGAGAGCGCCAGACAGCGGCGAGGAAAAGAGGTGCTTGTGGGAGGCAACATGGTGTAGTACTTGTCAAACGGAATTCCCGTGCAGACTTCGCAGTAGAGAGTATCGGTGTGGGCCTCGGTGCCGCCGGCGATGAGTGTGATTTTGTCGTCGCTGTGGTCGATCAAGTCGAGTTGTTGGGTAGCTAGGAAGGAAGAAACGTACGTGTACTGTGGCTCTTGGAATGCGCTGGGTGAGGGCGGCAAGGGAGTGGAGAGGGTGTGGTGGCAGTTTCGGGCGCAGCGCTGGTCGGGGTGGTCGATGGTGACTATGTGGCCGCAGGTGAGGAGGTGGAAGAGCATTGGGAGTGCGAGGCTGTGGGGGTTGCAGGTGGAGGAGCAGAGGGCGATGACAAGTAGGTTATAGGAATCGATTGTCGAGATGGCGTTGATTGATTCATGGGGTTCAGGTTCGACTTGAGGGGAATTTGGCGGCATGTTCGTGTAGTCCATACTTACAATGGCTAGTTGAGTGGATGGTGTAGTCGTAGAGAATCGGGTTGAAGTGAGATTTTCAAGTGCCTAGACAGCGCAAACAGTTATATTTTGCACCGCTTCAAACGACAGGCGATGAAAAACGAAAGTAACGGTGAGTGAGAGCTGCATGTTTTGACTTGAAAGCGAAGCTGAAATGAATTTTTTGTCTCGAGGAGCATCCATGCCCTCATACGGGTATCTTGTACTACAACTTAAAAAAGAGCCATCGACAACATACGAGAAGTGCGACTTCGCAAGCACTCAGTGCTCATGCGCATGCATATCACCATGGTCTGCCGCATCTAGCCCTGGACGCAGTGGAGGGCATCCATTCAACTCCAAACTAACCTCGATACCATGCAGTTTCCTGAAACGCGTCCTCGCATCCTGAGTTTTGGGGTCAACAACCAACTCATCTGGGTGAAGTGCGACCACTCGCTCCATTATCCTACGCGGAATATGCACAATGCATACTATCTTGACCTCCGGCCGGGGTTCGTTGCTGGGTGCAACTGGGGGGCTCCCCGCTACCGATGAAGCATCACTGCTGGAGGATGAATCAAAGTTCATCAATGTGGATGGGCCGGAATACAACGCATCACGAAGATTTAGGCAGAGCGACTCAATACCCAGCTCTCGCTCGAAACGGAGAAACGTGGAGAACAGAGTATGTGAATCACGTGGATCTGTTCTGTTCGCTTGTGGATTTACCATGGACCCGATATGATGTGGCGCGTGGAACAGTGGTGGTGGTGGATGGATGTTGGCTTGCTGGTGCATCTGTAGCTGTTGTTGCGCCAGCAAGTTGACATGCGGAGGGTGGTTCTGGTGATGGTGATGGCCATGGTGAGGCCCACCCATTCCCATGGGGCCTTGTGCAAACTGCAAAAAGGGCATTGCCGGTGCGGGGGGCGGGGGAGGTGGAAGCTGGTTGCCTCCTGTTTGGGCTTGACTGCCTCCAACGGCAACCTGTGCATTCGCATTGGCCATGACCTGCGTGAGGCTCTGAACTTGTTGCTGAAGGGCATGCATCTGCTGTCCCAAGGCGATGGGCAAAGCTTGAGCGTGTCCTCCAGGTCCTCCCAAGGCACCCACAGGTGCAGCTTGCAGACTCCCAAACGCAGCAGGCAGCCCCATGGCAACACACCTCAGAAACACCCACAGACTCTTCAGCTTGGGTAGATCGCTCCTCAAACTCCTCTCTGCTTGTTTGCTTCCTAGATACGCGGTCCACAGCTTCAAGTCTTTTTGTCTAATGCGGAAATAGACACTCGTTATGTTGACGGAAGCGGAAGATGCGACCACGCGGAACACGTTGCAATCGCTTGGGTGGGTGAAGAGGAACTTGTTCTGCGAGTACAGAATGTCGATTGCCTCGCTATACACCTGCTTGTTGGTGCGAACAAGGCTGGCGTTGACATTGTGATGGTCAGCGTCTGGCGATTTGGATGGCCACCAAAAGGGCGAGTCCGAGACGAGAGCAAATGAATAGACGCGCTCCCGTAGCTCTCTGGGGAGCGACAGGAGGAGCGAAAAGGACGGATCGGGCCGGGTGTTGAGCGAGTGCATATGCGTTGTCGTGGGTGTGGGGAGATGGCCGTACGAAGGGTTGCGGAGACGGGCTGGGCCGTTTGGGGATTGCGGCGCTGCGTCCATCATGGTGGCATCGGAAGACGAGGTGCTGTTGGAAGAGGAGCGCGAGCGCAATGGCGTCGAATTACGCGAAGCCATGTCGTCTTACTACGTACAATGTTGGTACACAGAGGCAGGAGGTGAGGGCTGGTATGTCGCCAGCCTGGTGGGGCGGTGATGCAATACGATAATGCGACGGGGTATTATTAGTCGACAAGGGCGTGCCGTGCCTGGGTATTAGTACACATGTGTGGTATAAGCGAAGGATCTCTGGGCGTAGAGTTTGCTGATGAAATCGCCGGGACGGGAAGATTGCTCAGCAACTGTGAGTAGAGAAGAATGATCAAGGGCTTACTGGTCACCCGGGCAGGAACAAGGAACGTGTTGAGGTGGATTGTTGGGTAGCCATGGCGGTGCCTTTGAATGCTGAATGGTTGGGATTTCATCATCATCCGCGCGGCTACACACACAAGTCTATCTGTCCCACCAGCCGTCCAATCACTTGTGCCCTCTTTGACTTTGTTCTTTCGGGCTCCGTAGACGGGCCGCCCGTCTTCCTCGTGACATTCCTGCTCGTCGCCTTGGCAGGGCTGAAGCGCTGGCTCGTGGCTTTACGGCCGCACGCTTCATCTGTCAACGGCGTCGTTCGCGGGAGGCTAGCCTCCGGACTACTAGCAGACAAGTTACCAAGGTTCGTAGAGTATTCTAATCCTCCGACCCGTGGCGCTACCGTTCACGCAAGCTGGCCAATCAAGTGCTTCAACCGAACATTGCGTGATGGGAAACTTGTCACGGGACCCGGAACATACTACACTAATCAAACACCACAATCACACTCAGCACAGAGAAACCCAGTCCAGTGACAAGACGCTTCACTGGGTACACAATGAGGAATAGTAGATAGCAACACACTAACAATTCATCTATTGAAATCCAAGAAAACAACTACACATGAATATCCAACCTCAGTCACTCTCACCTACCATCCTAACAAAACTCCAAACCATGCCTTATATCAAACCCTCTCTACACCTTCTCCACTTTCCCCCTCCTACTACTCCTCCTCAACTCCCTCCCCTCCGCCACACAAACCGGCGGATCCTCCACCCTAAACTCCCTACACGCCGACACGGGTTTTGCATTAAAACTCGCCCTGCGCAGCGATGACGACGACGACGACGACGACGATGCAACCAACGGCACCGACAGAACCCCAGGCAGCGTACCCGGCGCCGACGTAGCCACCGGCCCCATACTCAACGTACTCGACTTGCGCCGATACGCCGCATTAAGCAGCGCATCGATCTGAGCTTGTGTCAGGAAAGCCTCGGTGCCGTCGAGCGGGGCGAGATCGAGGTTCGCCCACTCGCTGTCGTTGGTGGGGAAGAGGGCCGTGCAGCTTTCTTTGCGGGCGTCGTTGGCTGCGGGGGTGGTGGAGAGGGATGGGTCGGAGGGAGAGAGAGCGGGTTTTGGGGCGGTGGATGAGGGCGAGAGAGCGGAGGCTGGGGTGGTGGTGCGAGGAGAGGGGAGGGAGTCGTGGGGTTCCGAGTAGTTGATGCGAGGTTTTTGGCGCAGAGAGCTGGGGCGGGATGAAGGCTGCGGGTCTTGGGGGGAAGAGATGTCGAAGGTGAGTGTGGGCTTTTTGGAGCCAGTCTTGCGGGATGGAGGGGAGGAGTCTGACGAATCCGAGTCATCGAGTCTACGTTTTTTGTGCCTCTTCGAGGGCATTACGATTTCGTCTTCGGATTCTTCGAGGGAGGAACGTCGGGGTCGTCGAGAGCGTTTGGTGCTATTCTCCGCTCCGTCTTCGGCGATTAATTGCTCCCGGAGCGCCATACATTCTTTGATTCGCTCCTTGATCTCTGGATGGAACTTGTCGTAGTACGCTGAGTAGTCAAAGTCCTTTTTCGATCCGTCTTTCAAGAACTCTTTGAAAGCAGGGAGCCGCTCGATCTTCTTGTCTACAAGCTTCACCTCCATGTCACCACGGTGCACGGTGAAGGATCCAGGTCGGATCGTGCGTTGGAGGATAAACTGTTTCATCTGCGACTTTGCACGGTGTTTGATGTTCATGTCGTATAGAGCGTAGACGAGCGTGCGTTCATGTGGCTTGGGCGCACCTCGGGCATATTCTTCATGAACAGGGTAGTCTGCAAACTCAGGTGTCTCAGCAAGCCGGCCTCTCCTGGCAGCGTTGATAAACTTTTTCGCTACAGCTGCTTCGTGGTGGTGCTTAGGGCCAAACGCAGAGGCAAAATGGCCCTTGGGTTCCTTCTCCATGCTCACGCGCTGGTCCACTCTAACATCTGCAATTTGGCAAATGAACGCAAAGTCTAGAAAGCGCTCCATACAGTACAAATGGACGTAACCAACACAATCATATGGGTCAACTACACCCGGACCATAGGTCTTGTGCTTCTCGTCAAAAGCAACTCGGTAGTTGCCTACTTCTGCTGTGCCCTTGCCAGTGTACTTTCGCATTGGACACTTCTCGAATCGGCAATGGCTATGGGATGCAGACGCATATCGACGAGCAGAATCAGAAGCTACGGGTTGGATCCAGATACGGAGGTTATCACCAGGATACTGTGTAATGTACTCGTGGATCTGACGGGCAGACATGGTGCGTTTCTTAAATTCGTGCATACCATTGTTCTTACTGTAGTCAAATGTATAGTGTGTCGATTCCCAATCCCCATAAGGGAGTTTCTTGGTCTTGTATCTATGACCCTCCTCTGCATGCTGATTGATTCGAGCTGTGCGAGTCGTTTCGCCTTTGGTGGTGTGGTTGATACGGACCCAAGGTTTATCCTCGCATTTCTTTGGCTTTTCACCAGCTTTCAGGACGCCCCTGCTTACAGGTTGGCTTAGGAAGCCGTCCTCGGAAATCATGGATTGTTTGCGGGAGGCATCTGGTGATGCGATGACTTTTACAAGTTGATCCTCTCGCGGCCGCATGGTAGTGGGTGCGTCGTCCTCCGAGTCCGTGCTAAATGCTGAACGCTTCCGTTTTTTTACCGGTTGTGCTTTCATTTGCTTTGCTACCTTATAGTTCTCGATGGGAATTGGAGGGCATTCTGGGTATTGTTGTGAATATTGTTGCTGTGGGAACTGGAGGTAGGGCTGAGTCTGATATAGTGGAGCAGATGGATCAGGATACGTCTGTCGCCCTTGGCTAGCGCTTGGATATTGTAACATTTCCGGCATGGATTGAGTGCCGCCAGGAAGTGCTGAGAGTCCTGGTGTAGCACCTTCATATTCCGACATCGTCCATGAAGTTGGGTCCCAGGCATTTAACGCTAGAGGTGCATTACCATATGGTTCCTTAGATACTGGTTCGAGCGAGTTTAGTACATCTCCAAGGTCATATTCAGGCTCAGCCGTATGTTGTAAATTATTGTACTGCTCGGGCGGAGCATAGGATAGCCCTAAGCCAATTTCAGGTTGATCATTCTGCAAGAGGTCAGTGTATTGAGACTGCTTAGCATCGGGACCGTTGGCAGCCAAGTCAGGGTCAGTCGTTGCAGCCCAGTCAAGGTTATCGAGATTGAGGACATCATTCGTAAAGCAATCGTTAGTAATGAACTGATTTAGATCAAAGCAATCATCGAAGAAAGATGGGTCGATTACGCTAGGCAAACCGATTACACCACTGGAACCGCTCGTTTGCTGTGATCCCGCAAGTCTGGGTTGTTGGGTCGTTGCAACAGCATCGGCTTGTGATTGTGCAACTTGGGCCATCTCATCAGAACAAGCCGAATTCCGGCAAGCACGACTAGACGAAGCCTTTACTGATTTACAGTCTGGTTCACCAGGTTGATACAATGTTTGGTCGTGTAAAAATGCACCAGAAGACTTGGGAGATATTTGCGATGAGATGGAAGACATAAGTTTCTTGTTTTGATAGGTGGAAAGCAAACAGGGTATATTAGTAGGGTAACTAGCATCCAGGGATATATATGACTTCACACAGCTCTTTGATAGTCGTGTTACAGATCTTGGTTGGACAAAGGAAACGTATATCAGAGTACTGGTCATTGTGCTAAAATCATCTGTCATTGTCTTGAGGATATAAAGCACATCTCGAGGGACGATGAGCTAATGGTAAACAAGCCTCATAACCTTTTGTTGCTGCTGAGGATCCGATGCTTAGGAAAAGCAACAAGGTCACAAGCTAACAAACGACCGTTTCTTTTTGAAGCATCAAGACGGCACTGTCGGAGAATTCTCAAAACACTCGGTGAAAGGTCTTTACCTGCTGACTGTTAGTTACTGAGCTCAGTAATGGAGGCAGCGCAGCAATGAAGAATTGTTCAAATCAGAAGATGTTAAGCAAATTTTTCGACACTATTGTTACGAACAGGTCTGTGAATTTTTGTCTTTTTTTCATCATAAGAGAAAGAAAGCGAGAGATATACAACGTACCAAGAGAAGGCGATGCGATGCTGACGCTAGGTTGGAGGTTAGTGCGCAGCGTTGGCGTAGCCAGATGGCATCATGTAGCCTGAATTAAGGCTGAAGAGCGCATGTCTGCGCGTTTCAATCCGTGAAAGCAGATTGCGAAAGTGCCAGATACATGATTGGGCATTGGTAGCAGACCCAGCCACCAAGAGGCATTGCCCGTAGGTGTTGCTGCTTTGATGTTGGAGAGGTTGCAGTGTTGGAGTCGAAGCTCAAGGACAAAGAAGATTTATGCCGAGGCGCTAACGACGGAACAGTTGTTTTGCCGAACGACCGAATTACGGCGGACCGCTCGCATTGACCCTCACGGACCTCGACACAAGAACAATGTTTGCCTGAGGAATCTGGGGTTCCGATGATTTTCGCTTGTCTGAGCTGTCAAATGGGAGAGTCATGTCCGTGTACGCCTCGGCTGGCACTGTTTCCGGCTGCAATCTTCAACGGTGAAACACGTCTTGTGTTCAAGGGTCAAACGTGACATGTTTAGTCAAACGTCTGCGCCTTCGTGAGTACTATTCTGGCACATGCATAGTGAGAGTGATAAAGCAATTGCCAAGGAAAATACAGAGATATGACGTTTGATCCGATAAGATAGGCTGGTATAGCTATCTTCTCGCTGTGCCGCGGTTTCGAAACGGGTATCAAAATGGCCTTCTCAGAAGGACTTCGTCACGGGAATTAGTCAATGGTCCGCTAAGTGGTAGCTAGCGATGAAAATGGGGCCAGAGCAGAGTGAGGCTTGAAAGAATTTGGAGGGAACGGCCCTACATGCATAGAAAGGATTGACAAGGATACTCCTTCTCTTTACCACATCAAGCTGTACGCATTGAGATGTCTATCCACTACATCCTTACAAGAGCACGCAAGTATCCTGCCGGTAAGCTTCCCAAGAGCCACGTGGCAGAGCGGGCCATCCTTGTGCCAGAACGTTGGACTCAAAACGTCTGGGCCGTGTCTCTATGACATTTTGGTGTATCACAAACTCACAGGAGTCACCAAGACCCGTGATAGCCAATGGGTGGCTGCGATCTCAACGACAAACTTCACAACCCAGGGCTAAACATGAAGCAAGCCTTGGCCGGATCGCATGATACCGGGGTAAACATTTCCAACGTGACATTCATAACCAAACGACTGCTGCGTACAGTTTGAAGCCTGCCACCTGCTTCCTGTTCTCTCGGCCAATCTTCTGTCGGGTTGTGGTCGGGAGTCAATATTCACCACCTACAATAATTCTTTTTTTGTTTTTCAATGTTTATTAGCATCACATAATGGACAGCGCTAAGACTGAGGAGCTGGTGCTCCTTGGCGCCATTATCGTCCACCTCATAATCACCCTTTTAATACTCACCTATCTCAGTGTCTGCCTACGAATATGGGCCCGGTATCGCGTTACGAAGTCTCCTGGTTGGGATGATGCCGCCATGATAGCGACACTGATGCTATTTACGGTTTACTGCGCACTCATTCTCGTCATGAGCGTTCGAGAGAAAAGCATCCAGCTCTGGAGCCAAGCTAGTATCCGCACAACTCTGGTCGTACGTCACTGCTCAACTACTTATATTGACGTTCCCTCTACTCAACATGCTAACCAGTGAATAGTTTGTCCAACTTTCGGAAGTCTTCTATGTTCTTACAACAACCTTTCTGAAAGTCTCTCTTGGTCTTTTCTTCCTGCGAGTCTTGACCAAAAGATGGCAAAAGCATGTCTTCCACACCGTTCTTACAATTGGTGTGGTTTACGGCCTATTCTACTTGTTCATTGTTCTCTTCCAATGCGGCGACCCTGGACATATTGCCGACGGCTTTATTCAAAAGACGTCAGGCAAATGCCTGCCTCCAGCAATTCGCAGGAGCACGGGATACATCTACGGCATCATCAACGTCTTGGCAGACTGGACATTTGTCTTGATCCCCATCTCGGTCCTGATGGATAGTGATTTGGATCGCCGGAGTAAGATGAGTGTTGGCATGGTCATGGCCTTGGGAGCTGTTGGCAGTGTAAGTTCGATCATGAGACTGGTGTATCTGGATGGCTTAGATTTGAGCACATTGGAAACGTTGAGCCGTATGTTTTTTTCCTTTGTAAGTTGTATATTGGAAGAATGTTACTGACGTGGAAACAGCGCAAGCGATCAAGGCAACCATTTGGGCGACTGCCGAACCCGGAACTGGGATTATCGCAGCTTCCATTGCCATCCTGCGCCCTCTGTTCCAGCAGATATTCAACGATGTCCGCAAATCAGCATCGTTCATTTCCAAGCCTCGCAAGGTGGAGTCTTCGGACGACGAGATTGCACTGAGGGGTCCCGAGACTGTGACGCGGAATGTGAACAGCAAACCAGTGAACATAGAGACTAAGAGGATGAGCATGGACAGCATTCATGGTGAGGACGCACAATCGCCATGGAGCCCGACCATTGGGTCGACGGAGGGTGTACCGCGCATGATTATCGTAAAGGGAAAAACAACGCCAGCATCGTAGCCAAAGGCGGGATGAGATGGTGTGTATGGAGGGGGAGAATGAGTGAATACGTGCAATGCGATGAGAATGTCAACTTGAAATAAAATCACGTAGGAGCTTAGCCTTTTAACATGAGTTTTCGATGAAAATGTTGGTAATGTATAATCAGTCACGCTAAGATGGTGCATGTTTGGCGCCGTGCCACTTGCACTCTAGGTCTTGTGTGGTGAGAGCGACAGGAGGTGTTGGGATGATGTGCTCACGTGACTCGGCCATTGCCAACCAGCATCGTGAGTGGAATTTGGAACGGATTTCTCTCGTCGCCATCGCCGTGTCAAGGCAGAGTGATTGTATACTGGGTGTAAATACTGGAGAGCGTGTCGATGGCAGCCAAGGGACTACTGAGAGGCCATTGCATCACCCAGCGCCACGGTCCAATGAGGTGACGTAGCGGGAGAAGCAGACTCGGCAGAGCGGCCCAGGAACAGCGGCGGGATATGGGCGAAGTCTTGAGGCTTGGAATTGGGGTATCCCCAGCACATTCACCATGGCATAGCCACCTGCCCATCCGCGCCATGTGTCCCTCGCAGCAAGAGACGACATGTGGACACCGATGCTGCACCGATCCCGAGCCTCTCCAGGGCCTCGGGCTGTTTGCCTGTATGCGCACGCCTGCAGGATCCCCCCATCCACATACCACGCCCTCGTCTTGCCATGCATTGTGCCGCTCGCCCGCCAGCAGCGCAGCTTCCATGACTACTTCATAACCCATATCCCCTCGAGCTCCCTGTCGCCGGACTCGCGAACCCAGCCCGCGCTCCACCACCGACTCCCTCGCGACAAGAGCACGCCCTACAATGCCGACCAGACCAGCCGCTCGCCCGCTGCCGTCTTGGGCCCGCCGTCACGAGACATGACGGTGGTGCGCATACCGTTGAAGAGTGCCAAACATCACTTTGGCGTGTCATTGTCCCGAGGGGCACGGCCATACAATGAGGATGCATTCCAAGCCGGCACCATCGACCTCCCCGCATTCGCGAAGCGGCGGCCCATTTCCCTGACTAGAAAAGGGCAGGGTGGAGACGATGGCCAAGTGAGACCAGAAGTAGGCGCAAGTGGCGATCCTCAGGTCTTCTATTTTGGTGTCTTTGACGGGCATGGCGGTGCCGAATGCTCAGGGTTCCTCAGGGAGCAGCTGCACGACTACTTGGAAAAGGCGACACAACAATTTGAGCTGAAAAGCAGTCTCGTGCGGGACAGGGGCGAGGCACACGCCGGCAGCCCGAAAGCAAAGGGCCAGGCTACGTCTGGAGATCAAAGACAGAGGGACAAGGAGAGTCTAGAGGCCATTGAGACTCACACGCCGCCCGGGACGCAAGCTATGAAGCCACCACAGCCCGGTACCAAGGACCAGCTACCAACAGCGGGGTCCAAATCAACTGAGAGTGCCATGGCTGGCGTGCCGCCGGTCAAGCAATCGGACAGCATACGCAAGGCAGAGGAGCTGGAACGACAGCTAGTCAAGCAGTGGAAAGAGCTGGTGGGCGGGTACTTTCGACGCTTCAAACCAGAGCACTTTTCCATGTCGGCAGGTGGACAAGGCCATGCTGCTGAAAAGGAAGTTGTGCAGAAGGGCCAGACAAGATGGTCGGGCATATCAGACAGGGTTGAAGAGGGCATTGGGATTGAGACTGTGCTCGAGTATGCGTTTCTCAAGGCCGACTATGACTTTGTTGCGGCACAGGTGGGCAAAAAAGAGGAGGATGCGGTTCGAGCGGACAAGGCGCTGAACGACGATGACATTCTCGGCCAGCCATCGCGCACGACGAGCAGACAGATTGGGGGAGAAAACCGATTCAAGGGCGGCAGCACATGCAGTGTGGCACTCATTTCTACCCCGACGGCATCGCCATTCTGGCACCCATCTTCGCCATCATCACTGATTACAGCGCACGTGGGGGACACGAGGATACTTTTGTGCAACACGGCGACTGGACTGGCCGTGCCGTTGACGTCCAACCACCATCCATCGCTGCCAGAAGAAGCGACTCGACTCCGACGGTTCGCGGCGTCGTTTGTCACCGACTCGTTCGGGGAAGAACGCATGTCTGGGCTGGCGAACACGCGGTCGTTTGGCGACATGGCGTCGAAGCGGGTTGGGGTGTCTGCAGAGCCAGAGATACGGCGGATCGAGCTGTCGCCAGCCGAATATTCATTCCTCGTTCTGTGCTCAGACGGGGTGTCAGGACACCTTTCAGACCAAGAGATTGTGGACATTGTCAAGGAGGCAAAGACGCCGGAGCAGGCAGCGCGGGACATGGTTAGCTTTGCGGTGGAGACGTCGACGGGCAGCGAAGGAGCGGACAATGCGACGGGGCTAGTGGTGCGACTGGGAGGATGGGAGCGGCGGGGGGAAGGAGGACTAGGCAGCTTGGGCACCAAGGAGATGCGGGACTGGAGGAGGCAGGAAGCAGAGAACCCAAGAGCCATGGGACGGATGTAAAAGCGTCTCATCTTTTTTTTTGCCTTTTTTTCTTTTCTTGCCTGGGGTGGAGGGCAGGGTGCATTATCAGGCGCATTTTCTTCTTCTTCGTCTTTTTTTTTTGCTTTGTAGCAGAGTAGACGGTGGTGTTGCAGCTGTAGAAGGTTGATAGACATCACGTGCACGTCTCCATTCTCCCTCTTTCCAACCCTCCCCCCCCCCCTCGTTGCCTCGGTGTCCGGCGGCCGGGCTCCACTATGACGAGGGCATGTGTTGGATAGTACATGCAGCCACGGTACCGACATGTAGCATGTGTACTTAGCATGTAGTGCACTACAGGTACGGGGAAACGGCCGGACAGACATGGGCGAGTGCTATTCGTCATGGTGATGATATGCGGTGAGAGGCCCAATCGCCTCGTCACGCCTTCGATTGGGACACATGGAATGGCTTGGCATGCTGGCTCTGGTCGATGTACTGTGCTAGTATGTATGTATGTATGTACGCACAGGCAGCGCAGGTTTCTTGTTCCGAGTGGAGAGGGCGTGTGTGTACTGGTAAGTAGTATCTGTATCGATGTGTACACACACGTGTGGTGTTTGTCTCCATGGCCAGGCGGATAAGCAGACGTGTATGTGCGCGTACCAAGTACCACGCACTCGATGCACATGGCTAGTAGTAGACACATCGCACCATGGATGTATCCAGACAGGGCTGCAGGCGGGAGGGCGAGCGTCGGGCGGGGGGGAGTCGCAAGCACGACGCGCAAGCGAGCCAATGTGCCGTTGCCAGGCGGGCGCTGCTGCCCTCGACAGCTGCGCGCGCCTTCTGTGTTTGAGGGCCCGAGTGTCTGTGTCTGTCGTCGACGGTGCCTGGGCGAGGCAGAACTACACCTTCGTCCGCCTTCCATACTTTCCCATACCCACCCACACAAAACCCCCCACTCACACTCGCCCTTTGTCTCTGCCCGCCCGTTTGCTTGCCCTAGTTCCCTCCCCTTGTTCTCCTGTCCTCTCTTACCCGTCTACGCACACACGCACACACACACACAGACACTTCCTCTCCCAAGAGCCATCCCGGTAGTGGGGCAGAAAGACCCTTAACAAGGAAAACAACACGTGAACTAGGCTTGTCTACGCTCGACCTTCGTTCGCTGCAAATTCCCTCCCTACGACAAACCTGTCCGCCGCACCTTTTTTCCACCTTTACATTCCCTCCCTCTTCCTCTCTCTCTCTCTTCCTTGCACACACACGCTCTCTGTGCCCCTCTTTGCCGCGCCTCCCTTCTGCCTATCCCGCCCCAGCGGCCTTTTAATCTCTTCGCCCACTAGATACCCCTCTTCGAGCCCGCCAAACGCTCCCCTTCACCCATTATGGATATCAACCAGGTGTTGGAGGGAACTTACGCTGCCGGTACGCCGCCCTCACCTCCTCTCCCGACGCTGCTTTTTGCTTTTTGCTTGCTCGAGGCCTTCTCCTCAGCTGACTCCTCTCTGCAGATGCCAGTATTCGTAACAGCGCAGAGCAGCAGCTTCAACAGGCTGCCGACTCCAACTTTGTAAGTCGCCGCAACCACAAGGCTGCACGCCCGCCTTCTACCACATGCAGTGCCCACTAACGTGATTGCCTCGCTTCCAGCCGCAATATCTCACTGTCCTCGGTGGCGAACTCGCAAATGAACAGGCCGCACCGCAAATTCGGCAGGCCGCCGCGCTGGCCCTGAAGAACGCTTTCACCGCCCGCGAATACGCCCGGTTACGTCAGGTCCAGGAGCGATGGCTCGGCCTCGACCCCCAGATCAAACAGCAGGTCAAGGCCATGGCCCTCGGCACACTTGCTACCCCCAACAAGGGCGTAGGCTCGGCCGCTGCACAATTCATTGCCTCTGTCGCCGCCATTGAGATACCCCGCAATCAGTGGCCGGAGCTCATGACCACACTTGTCGAGAATGTTGGCCAAGGCACAGACAGCCAAAAGCAATCTTCGCTCACTACAATTGGTTTTGTGTGTGATACAGACGACGTGGAGCTGCGCGATGCTCTGGCACACCACTCCAATGCCATCCTGACTGCCGTTGTCCAGGGTGCCCGCAAGGAGGAGACCAACAACGACGTCCGTGTAGCAGCCATCAACGCCCTAAGCGACTCGATCGAGTTTGTCCGCTCCAACTTTGACAATGAGGGCGAGCGCAACTACATCATGCAGGTCATCTGCGAGGCCACGCAGGCCGAAGACACGCGCATTCAGCAAGGTTCATACGGATGCTTGAACCGCATAATGGGTCTCTACTACGACAAGATGCGCTTCTACATGGAGAAGGCGCTCTTTGGTCTGACAATCCAGGGCATGAAGAGCGACGAGGAGGATGTCGCCAAGCTGGCAGTGGAATTCTGGTGCACCGTCTGCGAGGAGGAAATCGCCATTGAAGACGACAACACACAAGCACAGGCAGAGGGCTCCACTGAGCTGCGAGAATACTTCAACTTTGCCCGTGTCGCCACTCAGGAGGTTGTCCCAGTGCTGCTAGAGCTCATGGCCAAGCAAGACGAAGATGCCGACGACAATGAGTACAACACATCGCGTGCCGCATACCAATGTCTGCAGCTCTGGGCCCAGTGCGTCGGAAGCGGCGTCATGCCTCCAGTGTTGGCTTTTATCGAAAAGTACATTCGCTCAGAAGATTGGCATTACAGGGATGCGTCGGTTTCTGCCTTTGGCGCCATTATGGAGGGACCCGAGGAATCGGTTCTCGATCCCATTGTGAAGCAGGCCCTTCCAACTCTGATTGGAATGATGGACGACCAAAACATCCACGTCAAGGACTCTGCTGCCTATGCCCTAGGCCGCATTTGCGAAGCTGTTCCAAGCGCACTCGACGCACAGCAGCACCTCCCACCACTCATTGGCGCTCTCTTCAACGGGCTCGCCAGCAACCCCAAGATGGCCGCATCTTGCTGCTGGTCTCTGATGAACCTTGCCGATCGATTCGCTGGAGAACCAGGATGCCAAAGCAACCCTCTGTCGCCTCACTTTGCGCAGAGTGTCCAGAGCCTCTTGCAGGTCACGGAGCGAGCCGATGCCGACAACACGCTGCGCACCGCTGCTTACGAAGTCCTCAACTCTTTTGTAAACAATGCTGCTGGTGACAGTGTTCCACTTGTCAACGAGCTCTCAAACGTCATTCTCGAACGTCTGGACAAGTCCATGGCGCTCCAGGCTCAGGTTGTTAATGTCGAGGACAAGCTAACTCTTGAAGAAATGCAGACCAGTCTTTCCAGTGTCATCATGACCATCATTCAGCGACTCGAGGGTGACATCAGGCCTCAGTCTGACCGTATCATGCAGGCCCTGCTGAGCTTGTTGGCATCGCTTCCTCCCAAGTCGAGTGTTCCAGACACCGTCTTTGCCGCCATTGGATCCATTGCCACCGCTCTCGAGGAGGACTTCCAAAAGTACATGGAAGCATTCTCGCCTTTCCTGTACAACGCCTTGAACAACCAGGAGGAACCAGCTCTCTGCTCCATGGCCATTGGTCTGGTTTCTGACATTACTCGATCCCTGGGAGAGCAGGTCCAGCCTTACTGTGATGCATTCATGAACTCTCTTCTCAACAACCTCCGAAGCCCCGCCCTGGGAAACCAGCTCAAGCCCGCGATCCTGCAGTGCTTTGGTGATATTGCACATGCCATCCACGGTGCCTTTGAGACATACCTCCCCGTAGTTGCGCAGGTTCTTCAACAAGCCGGCCAAGTGACTATCACGACCGAGGGCAACTATGAGATGATTGATTACATCACCTCTCTTCGCGAGGGCATCATGGATGCATGGGATGGATGCATTGTTGCAATGAAGAGCAGCAACAAGACCCAGCTCATTGTTCCTTACATGGACTCAATCTTTGATCTTCTGCGAACCATCCAACAGGACAGCAACCGCACCGAGGCCCTCCTCCGCTCTTCATGCGGTGTTATTGGGTAAGTGCTGGTGACAGATTTACAACAAGCAAGATTTCTAACGTTTCTCAGTGACCTTGCCGATGCATTCCCTGCAGGCGATTTCAGGGAGTACTTCCGTCACGACTTCCTCACTGCTTTGGCAAGGGAGACTCGCGCAAACGCTGACTTCAGCGGCCGTACCCGCGACACTGCTCGATGGGCCCGTGAGCAGATCAAGCGCCAAGTTGGTATGTCGCTTTCCAACAATCCCTATTTTCGTCCTGCTAGTCTCTACTAGAGTCGACATGTCACCCCAGTATCTATTATCCAGCCCACTGACACCATCTTCCTCCAGGCGGCAACCAAGGTGTCATGGCCTGAGCGTCTTGACACCCTTCCCCCACCCCCTTCCCAGCGCCGTAGGGTTGAGCTATGTATTGGTCGTGATGTTGGATAGCCTTCTATGGAGGCAGTATCTAACGTGTGGCTGAAACATGGATTCTAGTTCCCTACAGTGCTGCGCAGCACGTTGGCGATCGAACCATGTTTACGTGTGCAGAAGCGCAATTCTGCAGGATCGATTTTCCGTGGGCAAAGTTACCCCCGCGTGGTTCTGGATGAATTGCCGATGCCCCTGATTGTTTCCAAAGGGTGGAAATGGAAATGGAAGGAGGTATCGTGTCGACCCCACGACGTACGTTGCAGGATCGCAAGCGCTTGAGTAGCCACGGCATGTGGAGACGACCGTTAGCCAGAGCATGACTAGCACGATACGGATGAACGATTACATCGACGACTCCGGCAGCTCACGCCAACGACAATGACGACTTGAGGAAGGAGCGTCGATGAGAGTACATCACTTCCCCTTGCACACCGGCCCACTACACCATTCCCCAACACCGCGGCACACGCAATCCCCCCAGCCCCATGCGCAAGTCCCCAACCCGAATCGCATAGCCCGAATTCTCCAACACCATCATGTAGCACCAAAAGTCTTGTAAGGCAAAAGAGAGTTTTAGCATCTTCTTTGCCAGGAGAAAGAATAGATTATTCGTCCTCTGTGTCTTTTTCTTTTTATATTTAATCGTCCGTCGACCCCGATTCATGTTTTCCACCTTGCACTGTCCCATGATGGCGTTTTTTTTTATACGAGAGTGGTTTGTGTGCAAGTATGAAACAAAGTGGGAGGAGAGATTTGTTTTTTTCTTCTTCTATAGTTGTAATGATAGACGTGGATATATTTGAGTGGTTGTTTGTCGCGTGATGTGATGTGAGTTGTGTGTCTGCCTGGTGAGTTACGGTGAATGATGTAACTGTGAATTGTTCGTTGTTTTTTTTTTCTTGGAGAATCTCGTCCACCTCTTCCCTTTCCAAAAAGCTAAAAAGAAATTTGTCATCTCTAAACAATAATCTAGTATGTATCATACCCAATTCATTTGTTTCCTTTAACTTTTACATGCCATTGTAGTGAACGACTTTCCTTTTTTCTTTCTTTCTTTTTTGAATTCCTCAATTCTTATGTAGTACTAACGAAACCTCCCCCCCCTTTTTTTGTTTTTCTCAGAAATAACTTTTTTCTTCTTCTTCTTCTTCTTCTTCTTCTTCTTCTTCTTCTTCTTCTTCTTCTTCTTCTTCTTCTTCTTCTCTACTCTTGAATTAAACTACGTGGTAACTACTATGTCCATCTTTTCTTTGAGTAAAGAAAACATTGCTATATCTAGGTAACCTAGTTTGAGACACACAAAAAGAGCTAGTATTCATTAGCATCTCATTTTTTATCGTCATGTTTTTTCTGGCTTTTTTTCTGCTTGGGCTTCTGTTCTTAAGGATAGAAGGTAGAATTTTTGATAATTATAATCATAATTAACTACCCTTTAATGATTGATTTAAAATATTTTGGGCGGTTTCGAGTAAAGGTTTTTACGTTTTTTTGTTCGTTTTTTGTCGTATTTTCTTTTCTCTTTAACAGAATCAAAGTGGGGGAGGGGTTTTTTTCATTGTATTTTTTTCAAATCCACGCTGAGGGAGGAATCTTTTTTTTTAAAAAAAAAGAGGAGAAAAGAGAGAGATAGGAGCGAATAAGTACATCAAGAGGTGGGTGGAGAGAAAAGAAGAAGAAGAAGAAGAAGAATAAGAAGAAGAGACGAGCGTTCCTATTCCGTTCCTGTTTCCCCCTCCCCCAATTCCTACTAGAAAACCAAATTTAAACATATTCATTGATTCAATCGTTTACTTCATAAGATGATCCCAACAACCCCCAACCTCCTTTTCCCTTCACCTTGCCTCCAAACCCCAACAAGTCACTACAACTCCTTCTTCAAAAAGTGCTCAGGCCGATGATCAGTCTCATAATCAACATGGACATAGGCGCGCTCGACATCGGGCAGGCTCTCGAGCTTAATCTGGAGTTCCTCTGCGATATCGTGGGTAGCGCGCAGAGTATCTTCTGGATTCATGACGATGTCTACTTCGACGATGAGGCGGGGACCAGAGTGGTAAGCGCGGACGGTGTCGATTTGGAGGATGGAGGGGGAGTGTGTCATTGCTAGTTGTTGTTTTGCTCAATCAGTCATTTGATCTTGCTGTTTACTCTTTATACCTATTTTAGAGGGGAGAAAAGGGAGAAAGGAAAAGAAAAACCTACAAATATACGTGATATGCTGCAACATGCTTGTATCAGCCGTGACGCCAATGAGAAGCTGAAACTCGGAATACGCAGTTCTGCTCCATAGAAAGATGATGAGGACGGAGAGCATCATGGCGCCCATGGGATCGATCCACCATTTAAGCTTTGAGCCACCGACGCTAGTAAGCACACCGAAGCCATTGATGAAGAGATCGTTGCGGTGGTCCTCCCACAAGATGCGGATTTGGCTGTACTTGTTGCGCAGTGCCCAGCAGTAGAGGAAGAGGCTGAATTTGGTGGCAAAGGCAATGGCGACGGCGATGACCGAGGGGAGGTAGAAATCGTTGGTGTCTGGGCCCTTGTGCTCGGCGACGGTGCGGATGGATTCGACAATGATGACGACGGAGACGGTGATCATCAAGGCGCAGAAACAGAGGTTGCCTGCGGTTTCGATGCGCGCTTTGCCAGAGGGGAACTTGCGCGCGTCGACGCGGGCCACGGCGCGGTTGCAGAGGATCAGCGTGAGGTTGGACATGGGGTCGAAGAGGGAATCGGCCATGGTGGTGAAGAGGGAGAGGGATTGCGACGAGATTGCTGCGTAGAGCTGGAGCACGGCGAGGGTGATGTTTGCGGCGAAAGAGCCAATGACTGCGATTTTGTACTTGAGGTGGTTTGCATCGCCTTCTTCTTTGGCAGCACGCCGGTGGTCGTCGACGGGTTTGAGGAGGCGCTCGATGTTTTCGTTTTGGGCAGAGTAGAATTCCTCGAGTTTCTTTGCCGAGCGCGACTTTGCGTTCAGGCTGATGGGGCCGCAGCCATCGCGCTTGCGAGACGTGTTGGCGCGGATCAGGGCGAGCTCGGATTCGGGCTTGATGGCGGCCGCCAGCCTGTACGGGTCTGTGTCCTGCGTATAGGCGGGCGGCGACTGTGATTCTACGTCGGCGGCTCCACCTGATGAGGCGGGGACATGGCGGGCATGATGATCCGTCGACGTGGATGGCGAGCGATCAATTGCTGTGCTGCTGGCGCCTGTTTTGCCTCGGGTGGAACTGTTGCCGTGCGAGGAGCTGCCGGCAGGAGTCAGATGAACGTGTGGGCTAGATGTACGTTCTATGCGATCCGGATGGGTGTGGAACGGATGTGGTTTCATGGATATGGCACGGTGGAGATCGGGTTCGGACATGGTTGCAGCGGCGTAGCGTTATGCCGTACGTAGTGTTATGCCGTATCGCAATGGGAGAAGTGTGAACGCGCGCGCGAGAAAGGAGGACAAGAGGAGGTCTGGCTGTCAGCACGCCTATCTCTATTTACTAGTACACATCATCATCATCATCAAGTGCCGTCGCCCTTGACGGCAGGGCAGCGGTCAGATTGGTCCGGTGGTGGCCAAGCTGCTAGGCTAAGATCGACAACGTAAGGGCCAGGCTTGGGTCTTGGATACAGCGCACGTGGGGAAGATTGATGGTGGAGAGAGGTGCTGTCACCCATTGCCTATGCTATACACGGTAAGTTTGCACGAGACCACAGTCTTGTGCGATGAAAGAAAAGACGTGCTACTACTATTGTAAGGCAACATGTTAGTAACATGTTTGATGCTAGTCTCTGCCAATCTTCTGTCAACCCCCACCTTGTTCACATGGCTCGTCACAAACGCCATGCCACTACTACGTATGCGTCTTATCGATAATAAGCACCCGCTGGGCTCCGGCCCACCACATGTAGCACAAGAACACCGGAGGCCAAGATGCAGACAAGATGCCAACCCTGACTGTTTATGCATATACGCCCAGGATAATGCCACTTCGCTTCATATCTACGTGTTTGCAGTGACGTGCCTATATCTTTAGTCACCTATATGCCCCCTGCCCGCTCAAACATCACCTCCGCTTCATGCCAATTTAGCTGCAACCAGTAATTCCGGGTATCAAGATGCAAACAAGCCCCTCTCATCTCTAACAGAATAGCCCTACGTGTGTAATGACAAAAAATAATGACAAGAAAGGTATAAGAAGAAGTAGTAGCTGAATCACACATGCTTACCGCCGAAAACGGTGATGAAAGGATCATAAAGGTGGGTTGTAACATGAGTTGAATGACAAATCGGGGAATCGAGAAGAAGAAGATGAACGAGAAAAGAACATGTATCCATGCAAATGCGGTGATCAAGAAGAGAAATGATGTGAGAAGAAAGTAAAACAATGCTGTCATAAAACGTGAAGAAGAGAACAAACCAAAAAAAAAACGTGAATCAAAGTGATGAAGGGAAAAAAAGAAGAAGACAGACCCAAACCATGTGTTTCCTCACCATCCATCACTGCCTGCACTCCCATCAACCCACCTAGCCGACTCTGATCCGTACACCTCTATGGGTGCACCATTCCCATCCCCTCAAACCCGGTATATCAACGGCCCGAAAAAAAACCTCCGTCAAGTTAAAAGACGCCAAACAAAAAAAAACCGCCGTCTGCCGTAATCATGCGCCACGAAAAAAAAAACCAGAGTATCACCCGGTGCAGTGCACACTCGACTCGAGAAACAAGCCCTCCCCGCCACCAACCTACTTGATCCCTTTCTGCCGTATCTGCGGTAATTTGTCGTCATAGTAATCAAAAGATTACGTTAGAAATAAGAAGAAAAAAACGCGACGCTATGTTTCTGACGCGGCATATTTTATCCCTCTCGCTTACGTCGGTAAAGAAAGAATATGACGGGGTATCCTGGGTATGGAAAAGGGTCCGAGAACGAAAAGGGTGGA